TTCCGCTTGCTCTAGATAAAGATTTGCCTAGCCATTTGGTGTGGGTTTCGGTTTTAGTTAATTGAGCTCGCCTGGGCTTGAAGTTCATTTACTAATTAGTTTTGCTGGCAGCTGACGGAAACTTTTTCACGGACTGCCGAAAGTTTTGGCCGAAAAGGGCAAGAAATTCAACTTTTCGAGGGAAAACTTAAAAATTCCATTTGAGTTCCTGTTAAAGTTGGAAGATTTGAAAACTTTCCAGAAAGGGCGAACTGTGAACCAGAATAAATCTGAAATATTCTTCATAAATTCAACATGGCTTTGTGCAATTTGCTTTGAAGTTTTGCCATGTCACTCTATTCACATCAGTCAATCAATCAATCAATCCGTCAAATTCATATTCAAGTAAACTGTCAGTCAATTGGGAAAATTGAATTTCCATTGCGTAGCCAACGAACCAACGAACCCTCTCACCTTGACCCAAAACGCGCGCCAGTGCGAAATGCCAGTGCATAAAAGTAAAAGTGAGCAGACTTAGAACGTATCCGCCAGATACAACAGCAATTAGCTGCCTGAAATTGAGGCCGAGAGCGAAATGCACAATTAGCAAATTGACGCCAGTAAACAGAGGCGGAAAAGCCGATCAATAAACATTGGTAAAATACGATGCCACCAGCGAACCTCTGTTGTTTTCGCTTGGGAGCTGCCATAAAAGTAGGTGCACCTGTTGCTACCTTGCGGATACTCCGACAGGCAAACAAAGTATCTGGGTAGCTGTTTGAGGGGCGCATCTGTTTAGTATGCAGGGCGCATTTAACTAACATTTTAGTAAACAGCAGAAATTCCTTCCAAACGTGTGAGCGAAGTATAAATTTCTGTTGTCTTCGAAACGCCAAGCTGGCGTCACCAACAAAATTGTACAATGGCCACAACACTATCTAATTACGTTGGAAAATACACGGTCGAAGCCCTTTCTAGACGGCATTCTAATGAGCTGTGGGAAATGTCTGCCAAAAAAGAATTAACCAAATAGGGCCAGCACGTCGTTGCTGTGGGAGACGAAAGAGCTCCGGAAATCCAGGTATCTTCGCCAGGCTGCGGATTGTAGATACACGTACCCTCATATCCATCTCTGATTGTATTCGCCTTGCCTTTGTCCAGCTTTCTTCTGTCTGCTGTGTTCTGACTAGAAACAAAAGGCATTTAATTAAAAACACATTTATTTTAGATATTCTGTTGGCGGACATCATTGTTTGTTGGCGGTGCCGTCGAAGTGGGCCAACGAACTTGCGTTCTTAATGGTTCACCGAGCGGAGAAATATATAGCGCGGGAATGTGATTTATGGGGATATACAGATATATACCTACTTATTAGAGTGGTTTTGATGTTTAGCTCGTGTTTGTTTCTAGTCTAGAGTCAATCAACTGAGATTAGGTTCTATCTTTCATTTACTAGTGTTACGGTTGTACGAAGTTCATGCACTTTTCTTCTTGCAAAATGGTTAACAATATTTCATAATCCAAGGTACTCACCTACGCCTTCCTCCAGATGGCGCTTTGTGCTGAGTATGTGACTTTTCAGGCGGAAACCAGAGTGGAAGCAAAATAAATCATGCCCGGCAAGGGCAGACGAAATCTTTCACCATTTGTGACTTGAGCATAAGAAATGACCAAATGCCATTTTACATATCATAAACAAATGCCAAATACAAATAAAATATTGAAATGGGAGGTCCAGCTGCTACTGTTCGCTGCCCCAGGGGCGGTTGGCTAGACTCTACGTAATACGTATATAGATGTCTGAATATATCCATCTGTATCTCTATGGACATTGCTCATTACGCTTATGGATGACAAGGCAGCCGAGTTTGTTTACTATTATCTATTTGCTCTGCCTCTATTTTGTTTAGTTTTGTTTCTGTTTGCGCTCCTCCTCGTCCTTATGCTCCTAGTTTCAGCTGCTGCCTCAGAATTGGCCAGTATTTATGTGGCAAAAAACTTCCGAAAACAAAAAGATCCAAACTAAAGTGAGCACTGCCATATCACCCCTTCTCCCACATGCCAGGCACGAAATTTGCATCTCTCTCGATTTAGCAAAATGACGTAACTATCCGAAAACCGAAATGTACATCCTACATATGGCGAGGTTGTGCACGGCAGCAGCCCCACTCTCATCGGCATCTCGGCGATTGTAAAGTGTTTTTTGTTTAATATGGCAATTTTTAGATTTCTTTCTGCGTGTTTTTACGAGCGTTGAGGCCGGACAAGTTTTGATCATTAGCGAAATAGTTTTTGCGCCTCCGTTTTCGAGGAGATAATTCCGCGCTCTGAAAATGGAAATTCTTTAAAAGGCTTCCCCCCGCCAAGAGGAATGAAGTCATATTCCCTAAATATTATTCTAATTTCACTTTTTCCGCTCGCCAGACCAAGCTAAGACTCTTAGTTTCAGCTGTAGCGAAATGGAAAATCCCCTTAGCATGTATTGCACAGACAGTCAATAACAATCGGAGCCAAAGTGTTCACACTTTCCATCAACGAAAGCCATTGACCCGAAGCCGAGATACATAGATACACAGATACTTTTAATGCTGGGACAAAAAGAAGGGAAACTGTCGCAATTGGAGAGTGAGAGAGGAAAGCTTGCGTTTAATTGCATTTTGCTGGCGAAAAGTAAAAGTCACTTATGGGAAAACTCAAATCCACCCAGACGATGTCGACAATGAAGGTCTTTCCCAGCAGCCCTCCTCTCTCCTTTCTACCCCTTCCCAAGTCCCAGACGGTACTTTCTGTATTATCTCCGCTTTATACAAGCATGTATTTCGGTCTAGGGCATTGTTTATGTGTCTGATTTTCTAATTGGTTTTCGTCGGTCTGAAAGCGCAGTTGCCAATCCCAGACAAAAGGGTTAAGAGAGCGCGTTGGCCGAGAAAAAGGCGTTCGCCAGCAGTTTTCAATTGTTTGGTTGCAAAGTGTAAAGTGTAGATTAAATTGTCAAGATAAATGGCGCAAGACACGCCCCATTCTGGTGCTACAGCTACTGTGTGTCGGAGTCTTTTATTCTCCGTTGTTTTCCCCCATTTATCACTGGCTAAGACTTTTGGGAAACTCGCAAGAAGGGGTTAAGACCTACACGCCATTACGTTTTCATAGCCAAAGCGCATTTCCTGCCCACAGGTAGCAATCACAGTCGCAGCTTTGATGGGCGATGGGACACTTCAAGTTGTCGGTGCTCGTATCTTTATCTGTATCTATATCTGAGGGATCTGCATTTATCTCTCGTCTTTGTCTGTCTGTGTACTCTGCTCATTTGACTGCGTGTGTGAGTGTCGGCTTCATCAGATTGATTGATAGTTTGTTTACAAATTTAATTTCATTTTACTTGTTTTCCTTCTTCAGCCTTTCTGCTTTCCCCTCCCTCCGAAGAATGCCTCACCTGTGTGTTCTGCCCGCCCCTCGGTCCTCGGGGGCCAGTGTGTTTGTCTTTTGCCTCAATGTTTCCCAACTTGGCTGGTCGCGCCTTTATGTGGTCGCCGCCTCGTCTCCTCTTGGCTATTTAATACAAAGGGAACAGAAACAAACGCTTCTCTACGACCACACCGACATTGGGACCCGGGCGGGAATCATATTAAATGCAATCCATTTGAATGTTCGCTCATTTGTGCAATCCAATCACGTAGGCACCGTAAAAAGGATGCCAAAAACTCTTTCAAAGACTTCATTTGCCTCGCCTAATGTGAGGGCGTGGCAAGGCAAAAACCGAGGCAATTGTTGGCCATAACAGAACTTCTCCTTGGGGACTTTGTCATTTGCTCGGTTACCAAGTCCCAGATGGGACATTAGGGAGTCGTGCGCTTCGTTCGCAGGTCGTGGACCAGAAACAATTTCACATTGATTAAAGTAAATATTGTTGGCGGAACTCGGGAAGGTCGATTTATTAAAAATCAAAGCGAATTCCTAAATAACTTTAGGTAAATAATGCGACCCTAATTAACGTCCAAAGTATTTTAAGGGCAATTTCGAAGAAATTTCCATCGCCCCTCGCAGCTTCCTAACTCCTTTTGATTCTCGATAATTCTTGATTTTTTACAAGTTTTCATTGACAAAAATTGTATTAAATGTGAGGGATTTGTCGCGCATTTCCGTTGACACCTCGAACGTCTTTTAAGGCCTCTTTCCCGTCCTTCCCTTCCTTTCCGTTTTGTTTACTTTGTGGGGTGGGCACATTATCTTTTTTTTTTTTATCTTTTCTTTTTTCCTTTAACCACCCCACAAAAACCCCCAAATAATGTCATAAATTTTCAAAATCTTCGTTTCGTTAAACTTTTGCATATGCTTGAGTGAGTTTTTCGTGCTTGCTAAGTATCAGAGCTCCAACCCCAATTAGATTCTTGACGCCCTTGTTCCAAATTCAATTCCCGAGCTTTATCGTGCTGACTTCCTTCCTGTTTGCTGGAAAGGAAAATAATGCACACAGCAAACATTAGACACCAAGTGCAAAAGGGGCCAGAAAGAAATCTCAATAAATCACAAGACAAAGGAATGGATGTAGCCCCATTCCTACGCCCAGATCCTGATCCTGAACAGGTCCTGGGCTGCGTTCTGTGTTGATTCAACGCTTTAAACCGCAAGTCGACAAATCACACACGGAAGTGTCCTTTTGTTCGTCGCGTCTGCATGTCCTGGGATTAGGGAACGCCATCACCTTGTTAACCTGCAGGCCATTAGCGTAATTCGTTTTGTGTCTCCGTTCGCTGGCATGGGAAACCCGAAAAATGTTGCGACGCCAGACAAATTCAATTCTGAGGTTATGCCGCCATCCTGACACTTCCTGCTCACCGCTTTGTAGGGTTTCACACTGCACTCACCACGCCGCTCTTGGCGAAGACAGCCTTAATAAGCTAATTAATTTATGGGTTTCTGAAGAGATCCCCGAAAAGACGACGCTTTGTACTTGTAAATTGCCTGTCTCAAGAGGTTGCAGCCCGAAGATCTCCCCCAACTAAGACCTCTACAATTTTCAGTTAGCCAGCATGGAGAGTCCCGTCTGATTGCACCAATCCGAACGCACCGAGAGAGTGAAACTTGTTTCCCAGGAAGTGAGCAATCGACCAAGAAGGATGGCCTCGCTGCACCAGAAACGTCCCAGCATCAGTAACTGGTTCTCCTCGCTTCGGCGGCAGCCCAAAAATAAGAAGAGCTCCTCCGCCTTGGGAGGCAGTGGCAGCTTTGGCAGCAAGCAGCAGCTGCAGAGGAGCTGCTTCGACCTTTCCTCGACGGCGGTGGGTGTGGGTGGCGGAGTGAATGTGGGCGTGGGTGTGGGGTACTCTGGAGCCGGATCGCCTGGAAGTCGACGAAGCAACAGTACTTTTTACATCAACCCCCTGAATGCATCCTCTGCTGGTGTCAAGGACGATCGCCGTCGTCTGGTGGAAGCGGGCAGCAGTAGTGGCAGCAGCTTGAGCAGCGTTTGCACTCGCTGCTTTTGCAACCTTCTCGTGAAAAGCGAGGCAAGCAAAGAGCCCACGCCCCTGCCCACGCCGAAACCAGCACTCAAGGTTACCCTTAAACCTCCCGCCAAACCCCGCTCCCCCTCTCTGGCGCCCTACACCAGCGTGGCCACGTATAACATCACCAGCCTATCGCCGGAAAGCCCACCGCCTGCCAGCCCAGCGCCCGCCAGTCCAACGCCAGTCAATCCCACATTGAGCACTGAAACCGTGAGCTGCAGCGATGTGACACGTAAGGTTACTCCTGCAACGGCTGCCCTGCGAGGAACCCAACACGGAGCTCTTTAACAAGAGATCGGAGTTCACGCGCATCAACACCACGACGACAACGAGGACTCTGATTGTGTCCCGACCAGTGGAGCTGCTACTGAATGAGAAGGGAGAAATAATCTCAAGGCGGTCACCCCGCAAAACGCGCTCCAACTCTTTGGGTTGCATGCTGGACGTGGACAGTGAAACGGAAATGGGCTTGGGATTCAAATATGGGAATGGGCATGGACAATCCCGGACTGCAGCTGGAAACGGATCCCAGTTCGGATCTGAGTTCCCCGCTCACACCCGATACCGGCGATCTGCGCTTCATCGACGACAGCTCCAATTCGCAGAGTGAATCCGAGAGAAACTCGATCAGCCACAACAACAACAACAATAATAATGTGACCCACAATAACAACAACAGCAACGGCAGTAGCAAGCGGGGCAGCCAGCAATCCAATCTCTGCGAGAGTTGTCGCACGCTCCTCGAGCGAAACCGCAGCAATGCGGAGCAGAGCGGCAATCTGGTCATCCTCAGGCGGCCGGGAAAGGTATGCAAAGTGGGCAGGAATGCGGTGCAATGCAACTGCATTCTACGAATTCCGAGGGGCGTGGCTTTTGCTGCTTCTTTGGAGTTTAAGTCATTTCCTGTTCCGGTGCACTGTAATGCATCAAGGTTCGATAAGGAGTCAGGAATTTTTCATAAAGAGAGTTAAATTGAATTAAGATTAAGTTCCGGTGAACGCACAACATCGCCGTCACGTTCTGTATTAGTTTGAGTTTCTGAACAACGAAATGGAACTGAATTATGAATAATATTTCAAATTTACCTTGAAGGCAATCGTAAAGCCCTTATTACATTTTATTCACTTTATGTTGAATATTTTTATTCAATTTGCAACCTTTGGGGTTTTCTGTATAGCTTATAGTAAGTTCTGTTCAGCTCAAAACTTAATTCGATTTCCGATGAAATCGCGATGTCAATTCCCAATTCAATTTGGGGTTTCTTAAGTTATTCTCTGCCATATTATACCCAAAGCTTGCTCAGGTGGACTCCCCCATCATTTGCATTTAATTTCCCTGCGATTCGAGGAATTTGTATTGAGCAGACTGGAACCGGTTCTGACCACTGGCGACACCTGTTGCCGCTTCTGTGTTTTACAGAGCGGCCGTTCTCACACTCATCAGCAAGTCACTTTTACCTGTCGCTGTATCTGAAGAATTCCAAGCCTCGCTTCGGGTTTATTTTTAGGTTTGTGACGCTCATTAACTTTGTCTCCCTGCCACTCGCTCTTCTCTCTCAAAAATCAGGAACCTCTTGGGCCTTGTTAATAATTGTCGCTTTTAGCCGACTCTTGAATCGAGAACCTGTTCAGCGATTAAAGTTTTCCTGTGGTCTTATGTAAGTTTCTATGGTTTTATGGGGCGTAGCTTGGTAGCTGCAGGCTATCACTGGTTTGTTGACCGATGTATTGATTGGGAAATTTGGATAATTTACATAATTTCTTTGTTCAAAAGTTTGTTAAAGGATGGTGCTTTATGGAAATTAAAGGGGCAGCGGAAGTGCCGTGGAACATGGGTAATGAAAATTGATGGTTAAAACTTTTAACGATCGAAATAGATATTGAAAAACCAGTAACAAGTGGAGGCAACTTTTTGTATGAAATCTTTGAAATATAGCTTAAATATAACTATGAACTATTAACTATTAACTATTAACTAATAAAAAGCTGTCAATTTGCTGGTTACTATTATCTGCTTCTCTGTAACACGCATTGAGCATTTAAATTCCTCAAAATCATTGAAAGTCAATGAAATACATTAGTCTTGTCACCGTTGGATCTATATTCGACAAGCCGCTGAAATAATTTACTCGGCGAATCCGGATTCAATAGGAATTTCAATTTCGATAGACTCGAGGGAAGGTCCCAGTGATCTCATCGAGAATCTCAACGATCTTAGCAACTGCATGTTTAAGCAGTCACATGCGTGTAGCCCACTACAGTGCTTGGACAATTTGTCAATTGTATTTTATGGCGCTTAATTAACATTTCTCCCTTCGCTTCTGTGTCACATACACAGTTCCTCCCTCCCTTAGCCGAGTCAGAAGGTCACTCTGCTGTGGGCCTGGGCTGCGGCTGGGAATAAGTGCGGGGCAATTGATATGTTCCGGTCTCGTGGCTTTCGCATCATTCATGCGTCAACTCAGCACTGTAGTAGCTCACAGATACACGATACTTTCCGCACACTCTTCAAGGGACTAGGGGCAACCTCGCTCGTTCCGCTTCTTTAAGCACCACATCAAATTGACATTCTTATTTCGGAATGACCCTTGAACGAGAGGGCCCCGTGGCCATACCATACCCATTTCTTGAAGAACAGTATCCATAGGCGATGTCTCCGGTTCAGTGTCAGGTAGTTCGTTAATTCAATTAAATCAACTTTGCATTGAGTTTTATTATTCTGCTCTATTTCCCCCTTTGTATTTTTAGCTTAGAGCGGGCAATTTGAAAATGGTTTCAAGTGAGTCTATGTCGTCGTTGTCGTTTTTATATTTGGCGCCAGTCGACAGGCGACACGGCACTGAGGAAATGCAAATTACCAGACTTTCAACTCGCCAGTGCATAGAATTTATGGGATTTCTTTCATTTTAAATATCACACGCAGTTTAAACAGCAGCCAGCCTAGTCGCTTGAACTTTTCATTAACTTGGAATTGTTGAGTGCGAACTGCATATTTGCATATGTATTTATAGTAGCAGTTGTTGCAGGCATTTCCTTAACTTATTTTTAAGTTCCCAGCTGTGTAAAGTACACAAGGAGTAACCTTTGCATTTCCTAATCTCTCGTTGCAGCAAATCAAAGATGAGTTGTGCGAGGTTGTCTCGGAGATGGAGGCGCTCGACGTGCCCGAAGACTGCAAGCATTCCAACAAGGATAAACAGATGTCCATTGGCCGCAAGAAGTTCAATATGGACCCGAAAAAAGGTGAGTGAATGGCTAAAATTAAAATAACGAACCTTTCAGAAAGTTATTGCTCGACTGGTGGGGTCTGTAATTTCCTCATGACTCACTGCGAATCAATATGCAAATATGCGAGTACATTGCTCCAGCCTTGGTGCAATTTAAGAGGTTCTTCCCGTGCAATCAGACAGACAGATATTCCCAGCTCCTCTGCAGCTTATTTGGCAATCAGAAAGGGAGTGTCGCTCGAAGTCGGGAAATGTAAACTTTGCAGATGCGATGATTTAAACGAATTTCCAATGACAGCGGGCGACACCCCGAAGGGGCGACAATGAAGTCAGACAAAATGCTTTATAATTGAGCTGATGAGAGAAGGGACAGACGACACCACGAAAATGGTGTGCAGAGGGAAATTCACACCAAAATCTCCACGAATCCACGGAGCGTGCCCCGGCGCCATAAAGCAAAATTACCATGCAAAATTGGCAAAGAGTGGGAATTGGCTGGAGCGCGAAAGAATGGAGGGACTCGTGGACACGTTCTACGAAGGATAATTTCGGCGTTAATTAAATAACGTAATGAGTTCGAACCAAAAATGCAGCGAATGCAGTCAGGCCGGGGACTGGCTATGTGGGTGAGGGGCGAGCGTTCACTATCTTGAAATTCTGACAAATATGACAGTTCGTTGACATCTGAAGTACGTGCGAGTGCGTTCCGCCTTCCCCCAAAGTTTGGAACCCCGGGAATACTCAATTGTTTAATTTAATGGAAATGTCAATTTCGAAACATTACCGAGAACTTGACAGGGGAGGATGTTATAGGGGCATCAGCCCGCTAGCTGAAAGACAATCCCAGAACCAGGATGGAGAAAACAGGGGTGCGAAGTATTTATACAGCAGATAGACATAAATGGATGCACCCATTGACAGTATTTAGAGATTGTAAAGATATTCGTGATAATTGGATTAATTACTTTTCAATGGAAAACGTTCTGTAAGAGATTTAAAGCAGAAATTTGAAAGTCAACTTTTCTGTTTTGCAATCGAAAAACCAGGGAGCTAAATATACACCTTCAACTTCAGATTCTGATAGCACTTTAGAGCACCCACATTGGGTGACCCACATGTCAACATGTTTGCCTGTTACCCGTGTCTGGAACATCTAAATTTCTCCACCCAAGATATGGTGGAATTCCAAAAGCCTCCCATCGCCCCACTCGTTTAAAGCCAATCAAATATTACCGTCAACCTCTCTTGGCCATAAATTATCGTCGGCAAGTCGAAATTAGGCCACGCAGCTTCCCACAAAAGACAGCACATCCTGCCCAGCTTTCCGGATATCTATGGGGCGCACAATAAAAATGCTAATCCAAAGTGGGAGGCTCGGGAGGTGCATGGTGCCATAGATGGCGGAATAACAAAAGCCAAATCGAATCCCGGCCAGAGACAAGATGTTTTGTCGTCGCTTATTAAAAAACTTCCAGAAGAGAATGTGCCACCGGGTGGCAAGAGCGGCGGTGGTGTCACCGTCATTTGTCGCTTTATCGGCCGATTATCAGCAATATACGCAAACAGATCCACACACGAACACTCAAATTAATGGCACACAAATGTGCCATCCATAACGCTCAAACGATGCCCCTAGAGGGAGGGCTTGGGAGGAGTGGGCGCTGCCAACTTGGCGATGTTAATCGCGCGTGAAGCTTCCGAAGTCACGCAAAACTTTCTGCTTAGCAGCAGTGAGGAAGACAGGAGCGGATTTCATCGTAGAGAGACCTGCATCAAACAGAGGGGCTTAGCACGGTTTTAGCCCTGTGCTGCCAGCCCTCATTTTACCCACTTCCTGCAGCTGATTTGTCATTATCGCCGTCATTTGTGTTATTGGAGTTTCCCCGCTGTCATAGTGGTCTTCAATCTGAAAATCCAATCTGTGGGTCTTATGTTATTGTACTGGCGCCACCTGGCGGGAGGTAGCAGAAGCATTTACCACAGAAATTCGTTTTACTTCTTTTGATAGATTTTTGTTTGCATTTAATAATTCTAGTTAGGTCCTATTTTGATTGCGTGTGTCTGGCTCGCGTTTGCCAGTGGTAGAGCTTCTTCATTGATTGGCAAATAATGACATCGTTATTATGGGGCGCTCCCTCTTTATTCTGCCTTGTTTTTCCTCATTTCTTCTTTATTGAGATTGCTGCGGTTTATGTTGCGGGTCGCTGACTTTGAAAGCATGCATATATGGTTATATTATATGATTTGATTTTATTCCTTGTTCTTTGTTTAACTGGCGTGTCGTCTTGCTTTTCCGAGCATATTCTTAGTGATTACGTAAAGTGGTAAAACTCATATCTTAATATTCCAAAGCTAACATTACTCTCTGTTCTGTTCCAGGCATTGAGTATCTCGTAGAGAACAGACTGCTCCGCCACGATCCCCAGGATGTGGCACACTTCCTTTACAAGGGCGAGGGGCTGAACAAAACGGCCATTGGTAAGTTATCCTAACCAGAAGTCATTAAACTGACCTTGCTTTTATGGCCACCGCCAAAGTGAAAAGCAAAACATAAAAAAATCAATTATACGCACTGCGAACATACATTTTAATGGCCATTCCCTTTTCCAGGCGATTACCTCGGCGAAAAGAACGATTTTAATGAGGATGTGCTGAAGGCCTTCGTGGCGCTCCACGACTTCACCAATCTCATTCTAGTGCAAGCCCTCAGGTAGGTTTCCGCCACCCTCTTCTAATTACCACTATCACTAATGGCTTTCCCAATCACCCACGTTTCACTTTCCACAGACAATTTCTGTGGTCGTTTCGCTTGCCCGGCGAGGCGCAAAAGATCGATCGCATGATGGAGACCTTCGCACAGCGCTATTGCCAACTGAATCCGGATATATTCACCAACACGGATACCTGCTACGTGCTCAGCTTCGCCATTATAATGCTCAATACATCGCTGCACAATCCATCGGTTAGTACAGAGGGAACAGAAGGGGTCCTAAGAGGGAGGATTGTTAACAGTTAGTTTAAGTTAGTAATCGTGGAACATTTTTCATATCTTAAGTACGTGTAAGTATCTTGACGTCTTGACGTTATCGTTGAGTTCCTCGACATCTCTATCTTTAACCGGATGTTGCGGGCACAAGACAGGAAGTTGATGCTGATGCCAAAACCAAAAATTAGAAAAACTAAAGAAGACGAGTGCCCCGGATCTGTCCTTCAACTTTGAAATTAGATTCTTATTCGCAATTATCGCGATCGCAGCTATTTACTTCCGCACTTTCTGTGCCGACAGCCATTTGGGCGTGCGTCCGACCGATCTTTAGAGGAATTACTAACTGATGAGGTGGCTATAAATAGGGAAGTGTGGGGAAATTCAATGCGAACTCTTGAATGAATAATTAGAATACAGAAATAGCTATCTATATATATATATATATAGTTTTATGGTCAATATAATATGCTAATCCATGACTCTCCTCTGATTTCGACAGGTTAAAGACAAACCTACCGTTGAGCAATTCATATCGATGAATCGTGGCATCAACAACGGCGGAGATTTGCCCCGCGGCCTGCTGGAATCCCTCTATGAGTCCATTCGAACGGAGCCATTCAAAATACCCCAGGACGATGGCAATGATCTGATGCACACCTTCTTCAATCCCGACAAGGAGGGCTGGCTATGGAAGCAGGGCGGCAGGTGAGTTTACATCTAATTGGATATGCTGTTGCTTGACTAACGACCTGTTTTTATTTTTACCTAGATACAAATCGTGGAAACGACGTTGGTTTATTCTGAACGACAATTGCCTATACTATTTTGAATACACCACCGATAAGGAGCCGCGTGGCATTATACCGCTGGAGAACATATCAGTGCGCGAGATCCACGATCGCAGCAAACCGCACTGCTTTGAGCTGTTTGCCACTGGCGGAGCTGACATCATCAAGGCATGCAAGACTGACTCCGAGGGCAAGGTAACCAGTTCGCTATAAAAAGTGCGCATTAATTGCTAATTAAATTGTTTTTTTTTTCTATTTCAGGTGGTAGAGGGCAAGCATACGGTGTACCGCATGTCCGCTGCTACGGAGGAAGACCAGCAAGAGTGGATCAAACGCCTGACGCAGTCCATAAGCCACAATCCGTTCTATGACATCCTAGTACAAAGAAAGAAAAAGGCGCTCAGCAAGAGTTAATATTAGGTCTGAGCTGGGCGCAACTTTTGTCTTGGATCTCAGTGAAACTTTGCTACGCGTGTGTGGCTGCTCTCTCCCCGTATAAAAACGAATGCATATGCATATACCTAAATTATATATTTAATCGTTGTGAGTGTGTGAGAATTCCCATGTTGAACCAATGCCTGTACTTCGTTCACCTTGAGGTTTGTTCCGATCCCCAACTATGTCTTTGAATTCTGTTTGATTGACTCGAAACAAGCCATCACACGCCGACGCACTTCGAACCACAAACTTTGTCTCTATTGTTGTGATATAATTTATTTACATTAAGCATAACCGATATGAATGATATGAGAAATAACTACAATAACTGAAAATTGCATCAATAAGAAATACACATTTATACACATTTTCATTAGTGCAAATTTTTGTTTAGTTTCATTATAGTCTTAAGTTTACGAATATGTCTTCGGATTAGCGTTTACCACCTAAATTGTCCCACCACCCGCTATTATAGATGTCCTTAGTGCTATTGAACATATCCCAGCCGCCAAACACTGTTGCAGCGCTGTAGCTTATGTAAATGATTGTTTAATGCAAACGAGAACAGCATTCAAAATGTTGATTGGCAATTATTGTAAAACCAACTACATTAAATAGGTGCAAGCCAAAACCGCCTTGCTAACAACGAATGAAAACTAAAATGTGAAGAAAGTGTAACTGTTGAACTAACAGATCCCAAACAAAGATGCATTTAGACTGCGAGCAGATTTGACACAGAGATTTTGGAACAGACAAACATAGTTTATATTTAACCAAAGATCTGTTTAAACTATCACTTCAAAATGCCAACCCAATTAACACCTCTTTATAAGTTTAATGTATTTGTCAATCGGAGAGTGTTTTGGAAATGCGTTTCATGTAAAGTCTGTTGATTGAAATAGTGAGAATAGTGAAACGAGCCAACCGCAAAGTGTTCCAGCCAGAGTTGAAGTCACATACAATAGATTTTGGAAGAAGTATTGTAAACAGAAATTGTAAAAATAAATGAAAAGTACTCAGTTGCCAGCATTAATCTTATGATAGCCATAAGATGCTGAAGTATGTTTGTAAAAGTAGATTGTGTGTTAAGCCTCTGTGATATCGACGATGGAAAAGAGGTCCCAGCAGATTCGATGTGGTTTGTTTTGTTTCGAAATTGAGGGATGAACTCCTCCGTCGCATCACAATTAATTGTCATCTATCCAACTTGCCTTGATTGCCACTGCTAACTGGCATCCTAGCGTATTTCTTGAATTTTCAATTTGGGACCAGCCTGTCGTATAAGTTGACTTAAAACAGCAGTCCCAAATCATTATGCAATATTAAAAATAATTTAGCTAGCTCTGTATATCTGTATAACTCTCTCTGTATTACCCAACATATATGGATGTATTATATCTATCGAATGTACATAAATACAAATTGAATAATAGAGAACTCAATTCGATGAGGTTATGTTCTACGAAATGTTTCTCCTATTTGGTCAGTAAATTCTTTAGTTTAGGCTTAGATTACGCCTGTGAATATGTGCGTTTTAGCATTTCTAATAGACAGAAATAGATAGTTTGTATATATTGTCAGGATAACTTGATGTTAAATGAATAAGTTTGCCAGTAAATAATAGTGTACTTTAGTGTTTTGTATCGCTTTAACATTAACGTGAACAGATAATTATATAAATCTATATTAAAAATAAAATAAATATTATATAACTTTTATTACAAAATCAAATTAATGTGTTTGTATATTTTATTACCTCTTTATTAATTAATAATGTAATTATATAAGTCGATATAACAAAAACTATCAAACAGTATGGGTAGTGACTTCACCGTCAGTTGAGAAATATACCTAAGTGCACGGTCTATCCAATAGATGGCTCTATAAGTGATGACGTCATTTGTCGCTTATTTTAATTTAATAGATAAACGTATGTACATATGATGAGCGCGCCACTCGACACCTTTGCTTTTTGTCACAGAGTTTAACCCATAAAGAAAGAATTTAAGTTCAAATATTGCTGAAAACTTCCTCCTTAACTTGATATTTTAAAAAAATTCTTAGAAAAAGCGTTTTTATGTCAAACTGTTTAACAAAACAAAAGTAATCCAATGTAACGGGTAGTAAAACATTGTTAAGTAATGAAAGTCATGTCATAACACCATCAAAAAAGGGTAATTTTTAAAATCCTAATTTGCATAGATCGTTCAATGATATTGGTGTATTACAAGCGTTCGGATGCATTCGACATTAATATGTATCTGCCTTGGTTTGTGTATACATATTTAATTTTAAGCAGGTTACGCTGAGAGAATTTGTTGAATGAAATGCTAAAAATATTTAACCAGAACATTTTCATACTAAGCTGGTTCTTCGGACAAACTCGTATCTCTGTAAAGAATTCCTTGTGTCGCAACACTCGCGAAAAGCAAACGCCCATTTTGTCAGTATTTAATATTTATTCCACATTTGTTTTTATGTCTTACAATGCTTCGCAGCTGTTCATATCCTTGCTGTATTAAGGGACTTGGAGCGTATGTATGGATGAGGGGCTGCGTTAAGGTGTTAACATGTCTGTTAGCGTCGGTGTGTTTAACATTGGTTACGGTTGCATTTACTTTTATGTTAATTTATGTTAATAACTTTCACTTAACAGCTTACATATTTATTTACGCTTTTAACACTGGCGGGCCTCTCTGCCTCGCTTCGTTTTTCTTTGTCAATGCAAATATTTAAACTATAGTCAGCAGCTAACACGCTGCAGTGTTTATTTATCCTTTAAGTTTATGTTAATGTTTATAAAACAATTTGTCCATAAAAAACTAATTACAAATAGGCGTACATATTAATCCCACATAGTTCTTCCTTCATTAAATTACATGGTTGGCCATCAAATGAAATGTTGATTTCGTGAAGAGTTCGATTTATTTACAATATCCTTAGTGGTAACTTGGTAAATTGATAAATGCAAAAGGAAAGTAAACTCAGTGCTATGAACTGGCGATGGAAAGTCAAAGGTGCATCTCGATTCTGCTATATGTACATATTAATATTCTGCTTTCTTCACATTGGGTAACAGTGCGGATTTGTAATTTGTTATCATGCGTGTTGGGCCTTGTGATTTCAGCTGATTAATTTAGGTTTAATGCTATTCGGAGATATTTACTAAAATATTTCAACTACTTTTTGTGGGCCATTCGAGTCAGTAACAAATGGAATCCTCGATCATTATTTGCTAGGTTAATTTAGCCTAAACCCTAATTTCCTTCTTTCTTCGCCAACTTCTTATGTATTTATTTTTGACCCAAGATTGTACGGCATGCATACTCTTGAGTGAATTGAGGCGTAGGAAAAGTCATCAGCTGAGTGTTTCAGATTCATAATTCATAATGTTTAGAGGTTTTAGTTGCTTAAAGCAAAGCTGTTGCCATTGATCTCTTCGCACCTCAAAATCAGTGGCCAAACATCACTGACTTCTTGCCTGTTGATTGCTTGGCCATGAAAAACCTGCCTAGGACAGACCTATCAACATTTAGGCCTACTCCAGATTCAAATGTCATGCCACATTCTTCATTTTTCGCATTGTAGCTACGTTAATGTTTTATAAATCATACATTCGTGTCAAATCGAACAAATATATCTAACTAGTGCTTGCCTCGACTCAATGCTAAAAGGAATTCATGTTAATGTTGGTGCGGCTGGCAATACATACATATGGATAAGTTTTACTTTATATCTTGCTATAGTTCGTTAGATTTACGGTACTTAGAGTAATTGCTTGCAGAATTCGTAATTTCTCGCTCATTTGGTAGGCCGCAGCGGAGTTAGTGGAATAGATATTGGTTGGGTTGCTGCTGGGGCTGCTGGCAGGATCCGCAGCACTTCTCCTTGTAGCGGTGCAGTCGACACAGGCCCATGGCGCGGGCATTCCGGCAGTAGCGAGAGGAATCGCGACAGTGCAGGGGCCCCGAGGACGACACTGCGGATGTGAAAACGGTAAAGTTAGCGGTAGATCCACATCGTATATCCTACTGTACATATGTACTGAACAGAAAGCTGCAATCTAATTGAGAAAAGTTTAATTTGATTTAAAGTATGGGAATTCTTTAAATTTATAGAAATCATTTTTTATTTAAATTAATCTATTTGAGGCTTAGAATAAAGCATTTGGATTAGACAATACATATGTAATTGTTTGGACAGCTTTCAAACTGATTTGAGTATCCCTTAGGCTGTTTTCCATCAATACTCACACTTGGCCTGGCAAGGCGGACTTTTGCAGACCTTCATAACCGCGGGGCGTGGCTGGTGCTTGCACACGTTGCCCGCCGGACGGCGACTGCCGTACCAGACGCACTGTAGGATGCGGTACTTGATGCCCTGACGTCCGCACGGCGCATTGCACTGCAGGGAAGAGGAAATTCATTAATGTTTAATACTGCTAAAAAGCGATTCAGGACCTACCTCGGACCAGGACTCCACGCGCCACACACCCTTGCACCGCTCATTGTAGCATTCCTGCCGCATGGCCGGCCGCTCGTATTCGTCGCAGGCGCTTCCCTCGGTGCCGTTCTCATAGCGGCAAGTCACCTCGCGGCGCTGCACGGCCGTATTCCTTCCGTGGCAGCGAGACCGATGGCAGGGCGACCACTCGGCCTTGCTCCACTGCGGACAGGCCTCGTTGCCGCAGCTCTGGAACAAGTCGGGCAGCTCCAGGCCGTGGGCGGAGCACTCTGAATTATCCACGACATCGTTTTCGGTGTCGTCGTCACTGCTGCCGGAGCTCCTGTCCTTTGCCACTCTCTGGCAGCTCACCGTGCGTCGCTTGGGGAGTAAAGGAAAAAAGTGAGTAAGATTCCTTTATTGTATCCCGCGGAAGGGGGAATGGGGACCCTTGGCTGTTAAAATATTTAATCCTGCTCTTGATTTTATGGGCCCTTTGGAGGCGACTCCCACAGTCCTGTGCAATCGGCTAATTATTACATAAATGTCGTTTGCTGCCTTGGGAGGTACTTCCCTTTCTCTTTTATGGCATTCCGTTTGCCTTTGGCGATAAAGCATCAGGCAAAGAGGCAATCCCTTGTTTAAAATATATCGGTTAAATATAACCGATAACATATAATATAGGAAATGTAAAAAGAACTAAAATGCAACAACAGCCTGCAATGATTTTGAGGCGAATGGCTACCTTTGAGGTGCTCAGAACATATCAAATAGTCGTACTATTCGAGGTCTTACAGTACTCCCTTTTACTGAACATATTTAACTATTATTTAGTTATTCTAACTTAAAATAATATAACTAGCTTTAACGAAGGAGATTAATCAATTACCCGCCCACTCGGATCCTTGGTTATCGAACTCCTCAACAAGTTTCCACCTCCCATTGACTGATTCTATGTTTATTAATCAGGGTGGACCCTATTCTCGTCCTAACAGTACATAAGCACCCACTCCACTCACCTGCAAACCGCTGCCAGCTGCTCCACATTCCTGCGAGCACTTGGACCACTCGCCCAGCATCCATTTGTAGACGAAGCCGCCGCTCTCGAGGCTCGGCACAGCCGTTGTCGTGGTTGCCGCTGCTGTTTCCCATCGAGCGTGCGGCATGTGTGGCGGGAAGTCCTCCGCTTCTGCATCGGCTTTGGGTTGCCCCTTCGATTCCGTCTCCGGGTCCTGGTTCGAGGGCAAATCGGTACGAGTGGGTCCTGCCTCTGTGTGCCGCTCCTTGGCCAGCGCACGCATGGGCTCGTCCTGTTCGAAGTGGGTGCCTTCTAAATCGACGCCGTATTTAAGCGCCTCGCCTTGTAATAAGTGCTGGCCACGCGAGTCCTTGAAGCGCTGCAGCGGCCATAGCAACTGTGGACGGGAGATTCGTTAGCATCGCCGTTGGAACATCCACCTACGAGTATGCATCTCGGGGTCAAGCCAGCTGTGCTTGTTGTTCGATATGCCAGGCCAGACTCAGTGCTCAACGGCCACTGCGCTTCCGTTTCCGCTTTCCCGACGACCATCAATCTACAGAGGCACATGCATAGCTGAATGTGTAGGGGTGGGTGGTTAGATGTTTGGCTGGGCAGGGGGTGGTGGAAAGGTGGGATGTTTCATGCATGAACACTCGAATTGCCCTCATCAATTGCTTCATGTTGACTGACTACGAACTGCGAAATCCGATTAGTCTCCGAACACACGATGCTGTTCGTACTCCCACCCACGTCCGCCCTCTAATTTCCCCTTTGTGTGAGCCCCCGAAATTTGACTACCAAATGCAGCAGTGGGTTTTTCGGCCGAAAGTACTCTGTCAGCGAGCTAACCCGGTTTGTTAAATCCACCTAGATTAGAGTGCTGGTGGTGCTATCAAATTCCCACTGTCTATAAGGGGAAGGATAGATGTTTTCATCCTTGCTTGTTAATGAAATAAGTTCCATAGGACATTGCTCGGCGTTTTCGAAGTACAGATGACTGAGCTTATTTCCCTTATTCCACTCAGTTGAATCTTCGAACCGAAACCCACACGAACGACATCGTAAATTCCATTTTTGGAAGCTCGTAAAGTTTCATAATTTCGTGTGTGGCACGAATCTCCAACCTATATCCCAAAAATTGTCGTTTGCACTGTGACTCCGTTGGTAGTCTTCCTCACCTCTCCCCTCTCTGAACTCATTGTCAAACACTATGGTCCTTGCAACGTCAACGTCAGCTCTCTGGTCGTTTGCATTTACAGCTGCCCAGAGCCGATGCCGCAGCATTGTGTGGGTGGGCCTGGTGGGTTGGGGGGTCTGGTTGGTCTGAGGCACACAAAGATGATTTCCCAAGAGCCACTTGAAACCGACAAATGCGCCTGCATAGTTTCTGTTGTTGCTGCATTGTTGGCTGCATCTGCTGCGCTTTTATTTGCCGCACCCCTTTGTCATTTGTTGGCCAACAAGAGGAGCGACAATGACAATGACGCCTCCGCCAACGCCCCCATTGCCTTTTATTGTTGTCACACCGCAATCGGAATCGTTGCCTGTTCTTCCTGTCCCTGCCACTGCTTGGCTCTTGTCAATATTGCAGCATTTCGCAGTGGCTGCCAGTATTGGAATTTTCGGGTCTTTCGGGTGTTTGTCCTCCTATGAGTGCCATGCGTTCCGCCTGTGCAACTGTAATTAGCACAGAGTTCTTGCCCTGATTTTGCCCAACGAGGTAGCCAGATTATTGTTACAAAATGTTATGGCCATTTTGAAGATACATGGAGCGGAAGTGCGGTTGCAGTTTCCGCCTGAATAAATACAAGTTCGTTTTAATCAGAGAGCTCTTATCCTGGAAGAGAAGTGAGAGGTTGTTGGGTGTGTAAAGTTAGTACCTTATTTCAGAAGGTAGTTCAAGTTCTAGTGATTTTCTGCCATAGCTGGTTTATGGCCCGATGGTAATTTTATAGACCATAGAACATCACAAATTTTGTGTACACCTCATAAATATGCGCATTAATATCTCCGCCTTCGACTGTTAATTATGTGCTAAGGCTCCAACGACTTCTAGTCGCCATCTCCGTTGCCGTCTCCGTCTCCGTTCCAGGATTTAACTGCATTCAATATATACAGCACAGACTCATTAGCAACTTTGGCATATACCAACAGCCAGCATTGGGCCACGCACATCGTTAAATTCTCACGCCTGACAGGCGGACCCAGCTCTGGCGGAGACAGACCCTAGCCGAACCGAGCTGAAGTAAACCCAACCCAACCCGTAGCAGTGCAGTTTTCGACTCAGATGTATGTCATTTCATTTAATTTAAGTTTAAATGTTGCCAGCAGCTTGCGCTCTCTGCGAATAAATGAAAACAAGCCTTGCTGCCAGAGAGGAAAACAAATGCGGCAAATGGCATGGAGTTTAAGTGGAGCGCGGCTAAAATGCTAAAATACTGAAATGCCTCGGAGGCTGAACTCGGCGGATGCTGCATCCTACATCCTACATCCTGCATCCTGCTCCCCATCCTGCCATTAATAAATAGTTGCAATCAAAATTAAAAGCCAGCAAATGCCTGCGCTTTTCACTTGTTTTAAATCATTTACGCCCGACATGACGAATATGTGGCACCAGCAGGACAGCCGCCAAAAGGGGCGTGGCATGGTGTAAGGGACCCTCTGGCTCTTAAATTTATTATCGCGCTTTAGCGCCCTGAGGTCAAAAACCCGACCGAAGCCCAGCCATATTTGATGTTTTGCCAAATAAAAAGAAATTAGTTGTTCGGAGTGGGCATGGCCTAATATAATTAATAGGCCAAAAGCTGGGCCATAAATTATGGCCGCCAAAAGACGGGGCCAGCCTGCAGTTACTTAGCTAATTAGGAATGCGCAAAGCCAACTACACCGAACTAACTAGAGCCGTTCGATGATGACTACGATGAAAATGCATTATCCTGCTCGGACAATTATTTGTATTCTGAAAGCTAATCAATGAGAGGATTCAGGTGCCGGGCCAGAAGCCATGGAAATCCGCAACCCAGAGGAGGAATTCTGGCTTTATTAGCAGAAGGATGCCTGCCCAGGACTGCTAATGAGCAGCTCTAGGAATCCCGCAGGCAACAATGCAATTAAACATGAAATGGCCAGGATTTGCATTCACAGATCTCCAAGGGGGGCGTGCAGAGGGAAGGTTCATAAAAGACAGGATATTATTGAATGAAACGGACGTTTACTGCCTCCGTAAGGAGTTCAACACTTTGGCCGGGAAATGAGGGGATGGCTTCGCAGATCGAATTCCATTGTGACCAGATGGATGGTGGGTTAAGAGATGGAGAGAAGGATAGGTCCTTGTGAGAAATTTAATTGGCTCATTAGCTTGAGGATGCTAATAATCCCCTTGGCCTATCGGATTTCTATGCGGAATTCAGTTCATCTGTGAATGGATTACCTTTTTCCTTTATTTCTTCAACACCAACTCAAGTTTATGCCTTCACAATATTAATATAAATCTTAAAATGTTTAACTCTCTTGATTTTCTAATAAACTTGCGTTAAGTTGCGGATCCTTTCCGCCTGCGTAGATAAATTTCTTCCCGATTCCCTAATTACCAAATGCAAATCTCACTTCGGCCACAAACATATTTCAAGTTTGTGTGACTTATTAGGCCAGACCTTGATCATATCAGCTCATGCAATAACTCTGGAGCTAACCAAGACATTATCTCATAAATATTGCACTTAATTTGCTTGTCAACATCCTCGCCTGCAAAACTGCACATGAAAGTGGGAATTTCCACGCATTTCACAAAGGCCAATAAAGTGCGACTTTAAGTCGCTTTCATGGGGAGCAAATGAAATGCAAATGCATTAAATATTTACCAATTATGAGAAATGGCTATTATGACCAGCCAGGCGCAAAAAGAGATGGACTGGAGGAGGGTGCGGGCGGCGCAGAAAGTTAATCAAAGCGCCGCAAACTTTCGACCCAAATTGTTTTATTGTCAACCGCCCCGCCTCACCACGCCCACAAATATTCCGACAGCCGGCATATGGGATAGTTTGAGTGCGTATCTGACGGCTTTTTAACCACTGCATATTTTTAGTGGCTTTCGTGCTGGTGGCTGGCCACGGGAATGTGCTGCAAAAATGCCGGCAAAATTAGTTATAATCGCCCTCTCTGTTTGGCTGATTGTATCTCCGCTCCGAGCACTACTCCAAGTTGCTGGGCGGCTGTGGGGCATACAATTTTCCGGTAACTAGCTTTGATAAATGCCGCCCGAAAGTGTCGCCGTATCACAGAACCCACCAGCATCCGCAGGACTGCACTCAAAGTTCCCGACTGGGATTGGGATTGGTATTGGGTTTGGACTAGTCTGCCGGACCGTGCGACTTGCCTGGCCTGGCATCATAAATTATTTTTGCCTAATCTGCATACTGCGATGGGAGCGTCTACTCAACTCTGCCAGCAGTTGAGCTTTCGGTCGGTTTGTGTGGTAATATTTCGACCTGCCCTTTCCCCGGATTTCGTGGAGGAGGTTACTCGGCGGATGAAGAGCACTTCTGCAGGACAGCACAGCACAGTACGAGTGGAAAGAACTCTTCCGGCCGCTTACTGTCAGTAAAAATGTTATGCATTGAGCTTGACTATTTCTATTACATTTTAACTTAAAAAATTGGTAGTTCTGGGGAGTTAACTCGTTTCTGATTTGAAACTGAAATCCCCTTTCCAGTAACATTCAAAGCAATGTTTTGCCTATTTAGTAATACGATGACCTCATTTCGTTTGATATATACTTTAACCATGCAAAAATACTTGTTTTGTTATTTTAAAATACACAACGGTGTCCACCAACATTCTCTCTGAGCTGTGTCCACAAATCAGCTCCTGCATTCGTGTTCCGTTTTATGGATAAACTTTCCCCACGCTTAGGTTCAGCTGCCCAACTAGACTCGACGGTTTCATTCATTTTTTATTGCATTATAAATTTCAGCTGAAAACTACGACCACTGCAAGAACACATCCTCTCGAAAATTGTGTGCTTTTCAGGTGCAGAGACGACAAACCCATTGACTGATAGCTGAGTTCTAAGCCCAAATTGTTGGCATTATTCAAATAAGTTTTATGTGGTGTTCAGGGAGATGGGCAAAGTTGCTGTTGGGGAGCTGGGAAAAGCTCTGTTGGGTCGCGGAAAAAAGGATGCGCAAAAAAAGTTTTAGAAAGTTTTCGAACTTTTGTGTGTGAAAATAATTTCCATACATTTTCGAATATTTTTCGGACGGTTGGAGTGGAGACGGCACTTACTCAGCCGGCATATCGAACAACCTTTGGCTAAAGGCTCTTCGGGTAGAGATATAATTAATTAGTGATTATTTCGTATTTAATAACTAGTTTTTGTAAAATATAAATAGTTTATAAGATGAAATAAAACCATGCTTAGGACAAACAATGGAAGACCAATTCAGGCAAAACCAACTCTTAAAATAAAAGTAAATGAAAGGCATGACAGGTTTCATGACCTCAAAAAGTAAAGTGTGCTTTAAGATCGTGTTTTGCAGATAAATTAAACTCCAGAAATATTTACTATCGCTAATCTGTTCTAGTTGAAAATGTGTAGCCCAAAAAAAGATTAAAAATTTGCATAAAACTGCACAGAAAATATTTACATGGCTGCAGCTTGCAATCCGATTGATTGACAATTTGATTTATCGTAATTCGATTTTAACTACTTTTTTGTATTTTATCTTAGCTGTTTTGTGTTTGGCACTTAAAATCATTTGCATATGCTATTTATTTTGAAAGGGATTTCGTAGCACAGATAATTAATGTGGAACTGCAGGAATTAGGCTGGTGACATAGCACTATTAATAACGATTAAATGTTAAGTTTGATAAAACGATTTAAAATGCGTTTGCGAGCACAAAAAAGCTTCTTAATTTGGTGGCAGGCAAATCTGAATGCAAATCTCCATAAAGCTTGCTAAAATATTATAAGTTGACTTTCACGTATTTTAGATAGGATATTCCTTTTAGCTTTTAGACCAATGGTTTGCCAATTCACAGAGTGTAAAATGCATACAAAAAGCCGAAAAAAATGTCTTTGATGGCGCGCAAAAAGTTGCCCGAGGGCGAGTACCAGGAGAAAGGGAAATTTAATACAGAATTTTTAATTAAATATTGCGCGATGCCAATTTCTTGCTCAGGGGTGGGGGTGGCTTTATCAGGTAAACTATTTACGCGCCGAGAAAGGAATGGAAAGTGTTTAATGTGTAGTGGAGTCAGGCAAAAGTGTGGTATTTATTGGAAAGGTTTACCTACGTTGCATTCGTTTGGGTTATATCAGAATTGGTTCCCGTGTTGGTGTTTAGTTTGAATGTTGTTCGTGTGGTACAATATATTTCAGAGGGCCCCCGAACAAACCGAACAGTAAAGAAAAATATTGATGTCGGAATATGTGAAAAGAAAGACAGAGTTTTTAAATCATCGGTGGGGGAGAGATATTTGACTAGTCTTCACCTGTAAAAGTCATGCAGTAGAAATGATAAAAATGACAGAAAACCATGCAAAGCCTTTAAAATGGCAAATGACTGAAATTATAAAAAGGAATGCCTTAATTCTTAATTAGCTAATATTAACGGTTGCAATGATAACGGTAATCAGTTAGTCTTACTGTGAGTTGCAAAATAAACTTGAGAGCTCACCCAGATTAATCACTCCCTTAACATATCATTTTCAAATTCTTTTTTTCATGTTAACTCTCATTTTGAATCACAATTCAACCATCAGCCTTAAAGTTGAAATATATAATGCCTTATGTGCAGGATAAGGTTTTCTGCTCCCCAGTTCCTGTCCAAGCCAAGCCTCGTTTTATCTCCTAATAAGTTGTCAGCTTGTTCAGGCCAACTTAAGCAAGACCACCGCAAATCCCACAAAGATGCCAAACAATGAAACATGCAAAACAAACAAAGATAAAACAGCGAACATGTGTACTGAGACAAAGCCGGGCTTACAGGTCTCTAACCGATGCGCCCAATTTTCAGCATCAGTATGCTCTGTCATTTGACAAATTGCAACTGCTGCTCGGCAAAGAGAGACAATCAAATTGGGCTGAAGACAAATATGCACACGTTGCCCCATTTATATGCAGCACTTTGCCAATTTGCACGGCCCACGCCCACTCCGAGTGCACTAATTACACGCATGCAAGGCAAGATTCGTGGATGAGAGTGTGAGTGCCCCTCGGCAGAGCCAGAATTAATGAAATGAAAGCAAACAAATCAAAAAGCCACCGAGATCAGGAAGTGGCAAAAGGAGTGCGGGCATCCAAGGAGAAAGAAAGGAGTGAACTTAAATAAAAACAATCGAACGGAAAACCAGAGGCCTGGCCGAAATGAAGGGTCGAACGAAGAGAGGATGCATTAAAGATGCGTCTCACCTGGAGATTGCTGAGCAGGGCCTGGAAATAGGGCATGGCCAGCAGAGTCCTGGTGCGACTACTCCCGCTGCTGGCGCTCGCCGGCTGTGGAACCCTGTCCTCGGAGTGCACTAATTGCGAGTGCTGCCGATGCACGCCCGCGCACGCAGATAGAGGTGTTTGGGATCGGGATTGGGTTGGGTTAAGGAAGAAATATGGCGAAAATAGTTATTAAGTGTGACGTTATTTATTAGCAATATGTTGTTTTGGCTTAAAGTTATGGTTATGCTGATGTGGATATGGCGTAATATATTATGGGAGATTGTGCTGGGGCGACAGATGAAGTTTGGTGGCTTCGGTGGTGTTAGTGGGAGCGGGGAGATTCTGGAGAGCAATTAAAACGTTTCAACCTGAAAGCGAATGCATTTAAGTCGGGCTGTTTAATATGACATGTTTTCGGCTTGCAAAAGTATTAGATGTCAGTATCAAGTTTTGAATAAACCTGTTATTATGTTATGTTAAGGTTAGAGAGTTAGTTATCGCCGTAAACCGAATTATTAGAACTAAAGTTGACTGTCAGTAGGAATGACCTAACACGTTGTTTCAACATTGTTTCATCCGAGCTCCAACTTTCTTTGGGCATGACAACATTTTGCAATATCGAATAAAAACTCACAATTCCTGCCTTCAACTACAACTCAATCAAGGTATTTACGCTAATTCTTGGCTGCCTTTTCACCAGAGAACGGGATAACCGCAATGTGACCCGCAAAACAGCACCCAGAGTCATTCGCCAGACAAACAGCAATTTGGCCAGGTAGTGTTGGCCCGGGCAACTGAAGGAAGATTCGAATCCTTATTACTTGCCTCCCTGAAACAAGGACAAAAGGAGACCATTTCTGCCAGGGTATGCCTCATCTATTGTTGTTTACGAAGGAACTGTTTGAGTCTTGGTTTACTTTCTCTCTGCTCCAATCCACTCTGCTCGGCTTAGCTGTGTCCGCTCCTCTCCGGCAGACAACAGTACGTATACGTATACGTATACGTAATTTCATTCTAAAGAACATTATATGTTTGGCCAGTGGAAAAAGATAGAGAGAGGAGCAAACAAAGCGGAACGGGAGACGGGAGAGGCAGATACAAATCTAAACTGCCAACAGTTGGCACAGATATTTATTCTGTTGATATGAGGCAACCCGAAAGAAATGGGCAAAGCCAAGTGGAAAAACTATCAAATTACGGAGATGTTGACATAGTAAAGGGACCAAGGGAGCGACTGAGACCGCAAATCCAATACACAACGAAATTGTGTAAACTCCGAAAGGACAGCGTCGGACAACGGCACTCGCACTGGCAATCCGCCCGCTCCCGCACGTCTCCGGAACATATTTAAAACGTAAGCCCGACGTAGGCAACGACGTTGATCGAGTGGGACAATCATAACTGAACCGAACACTACTCACATCGTCCTCCATAATGCTGCTATCCGCATGCTGAATGCCGTCCGACTTGGGTCTCCGATTCCGTTCCCTGCCATTCTGCAACCGCTCCGACTGCTGCTGCCTGCGACGTGTGCCCTGCTGCTGCGTCGACCTGCAAATACGAGGAAGGGTAAAGGGGCATTAAAATCAAAGGTCTTATATTAGGCCAGCATTCCAGCTCCGTTTCGGACCTGGAAGATGTCAAATGCAGATTTCCGTTCCCACACCCACAAAGACCTGTCGAGTGCCACTTCGTGGCGGCCTTTCTTGCCCCTGCCACACCTTTTACCATGCCCAACACTTTGGAGGCGTTGTAAATTTCATTTTTTAAGCGTCATTGGTGGAAAGAGCTTGTTTGAGGTGTCTTTGAATATACTCATGCAGCCTCATGCACAGCCAAGCAAGTTTCCCTGCAGGTTCAAAGACACTTATTTGGTTCCCTTAAAGGCTTCACTTAGTTCATTTTACCCGCAGGAGTTTTCCTACTACAAAAGGCATATCATTTTTGAGTACATCTATCAAGCTACAAAGTCTGATTTTTCGGAGTTGGTAACAGCGCCTATCTTCTGTAAAATTACACTAATTAATTTGGTGTTTTCCCTGTTTATTTTAAGTGTCAAACTCACATTGGAGAAAGCATACCAACGAAGGACAATGCCCTACCTTCCAAGCGTACTTTCAAGTTATAATTTCAAACTAAATCATATAAATTGAAAGCCAAATATTGCAATTTATTTCTTTTGCGACCCTTATAAACGAAATTCATCACTCAATTTGTGTTTTCCTCAGCACTTATATTCCCACAAATTTGCTTTATATTTGCACATACGAGTACTTGCGTTGCAGTTCACTTCCAGACGCCTGTTTAAGTTCCCTTTTAAGGAAACATAAATAATAATTTAAAAGTGATGCATTATAACAATATATCAAAATACACACCAAAGGGCGGTCAAAGAACCAAAATCCAGCCCACTAAGCAGAGGCCCTTTCGGTCCTTTTCGGAAATATTTGCATATTTCCTGCAGAAAATTGACAGAAATGATTCCCTGTGCGTGTGTGCATCTTTTTTGCCAATAAAAGTAAAGAAAAACCCGTTGGATGCAACCATTTCTCAGCCGCAAAGATATAAAATATGTATTTGAAATATTTAAAATGCGATCAAACACGAGCCCCCACCTGCCTGCCACGTGCACTGCGTTACATTTTGGCATTTCGTTTCCACACCGTGGAAGCCAAAAGTTGTGACACGCTTTTCGCATTCAACGAACACGTTGATGATGCATTTGAAAACCAGAAATACCACCGTAAATTTGAAAACGTTGCCATGCCCCCTGCCTTTTTGGGAATGTTGGAAAGCCTGCGGCTTTGGGAAAATGCATTCTGCTATTGGCTGTTTGCTGTTTACTTTAAACCATTTGCGTTAAGCAGCTGGAACATGGGGACAAGGGGGTCTACATATGGAATTGTTGTCTCTATACAGGAACATATATAAATTGCCCTTCTACCTATGCAGGAGCCACTGTAATTTTTGGCATGTTAAACTCCTGACCCAACCCGTAACCCAAATTGCGAAATAAGCCGCGCACACGTGTGCGTGGGTATGCAGTTTGGGGGAGGGTTTCGGAAGGGTTGCCTGGCAAAGGGGTTGGTTGTGAAGAGGCTACTCAATAGTGTTAAACATTGAAGAGCTTTCCAGAGAAAGCGTGAGAACTGAAGATGCAGAGCGAATGTACTGCGCAAATGATTTTCAACGACTTAAGAACTCCCTAAAATGGCATCCAAAATAGATAACATCAGATAAAGTTTATATATTCAGGGAACACCGTCTTAAGGCATTTGATTGGTTCAATGAAAGCAACAAAGTGCGTGCCTAGCCCAGCTTACCCTTGACTGGCGAAAGGATATTCAGCCACGTGAACATAAAGTGTCAGAGCCAACTTCTGTTAGTGGTTCCGCCTCAAGAGGGGCGGATTTAAGCAAGGTGAGCCAACTAAGTAACCATAAAATTTACTTAGAGTTTGTTTTGTTTTTATTATTTGTTGCTTTTGCTGCTTGAGGGCATAAAACTTTAATGCAAGGGAAAGGCAAATACACAAACACAAACGGAAACCCAGCCAGGAAAGCAGAACAAGGGAAAAGGTGTGCTGGATGTAACACTCAGGCAGCGACTAACGGTGATAACACGCATACGCAGCGTTGGCAGTTGTAGTAGCGGGTTGCCGGAGGAGAGAGGAAAAGGCTAGATAAAGACATGACAGGGGGCGGACGGAAGAAGGAAGTGCATAACTGACCAGTACTAAGCGGTTGCCACTGCACCGCAGCAGTAAAGGCGCGAATGCTGCTTACTCCCCGCTGTTCCCCAGCGGAAGTGCCAGTTCGACTCAAGAAAAAGAAGAAAATACAAGGAAGCACAAGCCGGTAATAACGGGACAGCTAAGGCACTCTCCATCTAAATGGCCAGAGTAGGAGGGAGGGGGAACCCAGTCAGAGATTAGGTTAGAGCTAGGATGTTGTTAAGCTGATGCTGCAACGTCGGTAAGGGAAAATGCAAAGTGCCCGAGCAAAACTGTCCATTTGCTCTATCACTGGGAAATGAGGGATGTGAAAATGGACTTTACAAGTTACTTTATAAGCGGAAGCGCCATTTGCAAATAAAGTACTAACGAAAGTGATTTCCGGAACTTGTCGCCAATTTGTTGTCAATGAATATGCCTTACAATCATATAGGTTTATTTCAAGAAGCATCGTTAAAAAAATAAAGGAGCCAACCCTCTAAAGTAGATAAGTTTTCTAATTAAAAACTATGTTGGCTCTTCTTTCTCACCGTTCCCATTTGGTAAAGCCAATCTAAGATAAGTAATAATAATAATATTTTTGATAAATCAGTAAAAAGATTCAGGGTATGTCAAAACAAGGAAAATTACGCTTAAAAGCAGAAAAATCATTTTCTAATTGCGAAAAGGAAATATTAATAGGAGTGTTGCACCAACTCCTTCCTTTACACTTTTAAGTCAAATGCTTCTATTCATGACATTCTAAACGGTCTTCCCTGCTTTATGTTGATTTCCAAATTAGAGGAAACTAAACATTTTTGGAATTCGAAAAAATGCATATTTAGTTGTGAACATTCTGATTTCCAAGAGACTTATCTGGCATTCAACATTCAGTATCGTTGTCTATGTTTCTTAAGTTTATACAGAATATAAGCAATCTTTTTTACGCGATTTATGGAAATGCGAAATAAGTTTGTAGAGCCAAAGAACAAAAAAGTATGTTGCATAAACAGATCGATCAAAAATCATTTTACTTCCAACCTGAAATCATTTCAATGGACCGGCCCAGGCACTTGATTTATTTTCCTAAATAACCAGACTCTAACCCCATCACGATAATGCAAAAGTAACGCCCCACACTAAACCCGTCCAATCTGCGAGTGCTCAAAAGTCAGAGGCTTAGCTTGGAAACTTTTCGGAGAAGGTCGCACGGCAGGCCGCTTACTTACCCATTAGCGGGGCCATCAGTTCCACCTCCACCGGAAATGCCTGTCGCACCCACCGACGTCATGTCCGCCGAGGTGAGAGCCTCCGTGCCGCTTCGCTCACGCACCAGCCGATCTGGGAAAATCAGGAAGGGGAGAAGAAGTTGTTAAGACGAACAGGCTCATTAGGGACATGAAAGAGCTGGGCAACCATTTTTTAAATTTAAGGTACAAGCCAAAATTATAATGTTTCATAAAAAGTATTCCTAAGAGTTGGCTCGATATCCCTGTTGCACTAATTACCCACCTGCCTCCTGACGCTCAAGCTCCTCTGCGTGCTGACCCGGCTTAGCCTTCACCTCGATGCTTATTTCTGCGGAGCTCAGTCCGGCGTGGCAAGAGTAGACTCCGGCATCGCGGAACGTGATATCGAGAATGCGAAGAGCACCCTTTTTCGACACTTTGAACTTCCGCGAGCGCTGAAGCGGCTTGTGGTCCTTGCTCCACTTGATCTTGGTGCGGTTATACCGCTTCACGGGGCACTTGATTTTCACTTGGGTGCCGAAGAACACCACACCGGCCCCTCCCACTTTCAGCGTTATCTTGGTCTTCTTGGGGTCGTGCTGGATGTGCGTTGAGTTGCTGACCTGGATGACCGGCTTGGGATCTTCCGGCGGACAGGGTTTCACGTTGCAGGGCTTTTTATCCGCCGGCTTGGCACTCGGGCACATCGACTCTGGTCGCTCGATCTTGTGCTCCTGGGCCATAATCTGCTTGCACTCCACCTTGCGATCCTTGAAACCATACCCGCAGGTGTGGGAGCACTTGGCCCACTCACCTACCTCCCAGCGAACGGGGCAGTCGAGAACGTTGCAGTACTGTCGATCTGCTGGCGGTGGCTGCGGGCACATACTGTTCGGGACCACCATAGTGTTGTCACCACCGCGGGTAACCTCGTGGATACACTGCACCTCGCGGGTCTTGATGCCAATGCCGCAGCTCTTAGAGCAGGGCGTGTAGTCCGAGTAGTTCCATCTGGGAGGGCAGGGTCGGTCGTTGCAAGTACGCACCCTCGCCTCCGGCTTGCTGTCCGGGGTACATAGGAAGGGTGACACCACCCTACCATTGTCCTCCCGCACGCAGTTTATCAACAGCTCCTCGACACCTCCGAGACAGGAGGCACTGCAGGAAGTGTAGCCCTGTTCACGCCAGACGTAAGTCTTTCCCGGCTCCGAAACACCCACTTTAATGGAGTCCCTGGGGTACTGGTCGTCGAAGGGGTTAGAGGTCAGAATGCATTGATCCTCCACACATCGCTCGACCTCGTCGTGCGGTTTCTTGCCCTCACACAGCGAATCATTCACGGTGGCCACTGTCCTGGTGTATTCCAGGAAGATCTTGCAGTTGTACGACCGCCGGCGTATTCCCTCGCCGCAGGTAACGCTACATGGTGACCAGTCTGTGTCCTTGATGTAGCTGTGGATTAAAAGAACACATTTTGTTCACTCTTTTATAGTTTTGATTAATTAATATTAATTTAGTATTAGCTAACTTAAAGCTTAAATGTTCCAGAAGAAATATATTTGTCGGGGCCCTTCTATCTCCCAATGAAAATATTTATTAAATTTAAACCGCTAACCCACAGAGCATTCACAATTGCGCCACTGGACAAACAAAGCCAGCACCCACACACGGCGTGATCCATGGGCAATTTGCACGTTTACCCGCACGAACGCAAATCGAATCAACTAAACCTTGTGTCAGCGCAAAAACCATCGTTCTGCACCACCCCTCTCAGCTGCCCACCCCCTGTCGACCATTCATCTGTAGCTAAGCAAATTCCATGCAACAATACACTGGAACCCACCACGTTCTACACACTGCATTTCATTTGATGCCAGGACTCATATTTATTGGAGCCCTCTGCGCTCGGCCCTCAAAAGTATGCTACGCGAATGAATCGTGCGGGAACCCGAGTGAACGCCCGCATGGCCTCCACTTTGTGTCGTTTCTGGTGGACAGGCTCTGTAGTGCCCTCGCATTGTTTTGTGGCCTGAAGTGGTTTTTATGGCCACGATGACATTCCATGGAATGGACTCGGGGCCAGAGGTTGACAAGTCCGCTGGACGGGAGCCTTTCTACCCTTTATTGATTTGTAGTCAAATCGAGAAAGACGCATTAAAGTGGCGCCAAATGGCCGCAAACATCTTACCACGATTTTCTAAGTAGGTCAACTCGCTGGCTACACAGCGAAAAATGATATGTGTGAAGAGAAGCCATTACAGAAATGTAGAAAAATTCCTCAGAATTTGTATTTCTTTTGTGCTTTTTTCAGTGGAGCTGCTGATTTCATAACCAGCGCCCCGAGTAGGCCAGGCGCGTGTTCAAAACATTGTTTGCTTGTATCTTTCTCCTTTTTTTGTTTGTCTGCTTGGCCCGCTGCCATCGCCATCTCTTCAGGGCCTTTATTGCTGCCTCATCGGCATCGCCATCGGCATCGGCAACGGAGGCCAAGGTTCTGGTGGCGGCATCAAGACGCGACTTTATGGCGGCGCCAGGCTCAAATAGTTTCAGCTTAGTGGGCATCGCAACAACAAGCAATCGAAAGAAAAGTAAAGAAAAGATAAGTTGAATGTCTTTTTAGCATAATAAAAAGCGGCATTTCGATGTTCCGTGGCCATCGGTCCATTAGGTCCAAGAAAAAGGCTTTTTTTTGGGTCAATGCTCGACAAATTGGGTTGGGAAATATAGTTCTTTTTTGATTAGTTAGTCCAGCTGAAAAATCAACTCAATAATAAATACTACTGATTGCTGAGCAACGTTTGAGGTTTTCGAATCTATATACTAACAGTAGGTTGTGGATTACTTCTCCCTCCTAAGTAGTTCCACCGAAGTCAGAGATCTTTAAGCAAATGATTTCCTTAACCTTGGAAATGACCAGAACCAGGCCCACACAGGCACTTGAGTAAGTGAGAAACCAGGATCAGAGGATAGGGACTCCCAATCAGAGCTGTAATTTATTATTTCGGCTAAGTATTCCCCACGCGCCAATTACCCGATAAAAGCACTTGGCTGTGGCCACTCGATACTAATGATTTCATTTAGATTCATTTCCCTGGTTTCGCTGGCTAATTAAAGTGTGTGTATACCTAAAAGGTGCTTTCCTGGGAAGTGAGCCCTCTAGTTGATGTGTTTGACCGGGCTTATCGGTGGAGTTTTATATCGTTTCCCAATAACAATGAAATGGGCACGTCAAAGCGGCACTTTAATTGTCATTAGGAGCACTTCACCGAACTTACAGTCTCCTCCAATTCCGAGTCGATACTTTCCCCCACTCCCTGCCAAGGATGTGGGTTTGTGAGTTTGTCTAATAGCCTTAATTTTAGGTGTCGACAGCGCTCAAGGACATTATGATGAGTCATGGAGAGGGGCACTGTTGGCTGGTGTGTTGGCCAAGTGCTCCAGCCAAGTCGAGTCGAGTGGCAGCCAAGAGGGCGAAGGAGCGCCCGGCGACGCACTAAAGTTGAAATATGTCAAGCACTGGCTTCAGGGCGAGATAAGGCGAGAGAAGTGGTTGGAGGAGCCAGCGCCTCCGGCTGCCATCAAGATACGGAGCTTGAGTCAAAAGCCCTGGAAGGCTTAGTAGTGTGTCGTGTCCTACGGGACACGGCTAACCACACCGAGGCGTGCCATCAATTAGGCAGTGACAATAATTATTGAAATATCCAACAAGCTTAGCAATACGACATACTTGAGGGCGGAATGGAAGAACAGAAAACAGAGTACAAAATAATGTTCTCTGAAGGCATTCTATAATGGGAAAATCTTTTCATGATGCTATTAAAAGAAGACTTAAGGACTTACCTTGAAGAAATACTATACAAACTTAAACAAAATCGCTACTTAAATATTAAGTAGAAATAAGTATTTCCTCGATGACATTAGTAATGCAATCTTAGAAACATCTCCTGAGCTTTGCGTTTAGATTGCCGAGCTACTTACGTGGGATCCAATGCAGATCCATCTGTTCCGCCGCCTCCCCGATTGTAATTGTGGTTCGAGCTTCCACTCATGAGTCGCATGGTCCGGGGTTCGTCTGGGGCTTCCTGGTTCAGTCGACTTTGCGTGCGATGGGAGTAGCGCAGTGGCTGATCGGCGTAGGAGGAGCCCTCGCCGTCATCGGTATCCTGGCCCGATTCCAGGTCATCAATGTCCTCGGCCTCATCATCGACGTCCTCATCGTCGTCGTCGTCATCCACATCCGAGGTGTCCATCTGACGCTCCGAACGCTAAAATGGAATTTGAATTTTCATTCCAGCGAAAAGCGCCAGCAAACTGTGACTGACTTACCTCGTTTAGCGATCGGCTGCTGCCCACGATGATGGTGCCACCGCCTTTGTTCGCCGATCCACCTCCTCCGCCGCAGTGGATGCCGGTGGAGCACTGCTGCATGCTGCCGGGCTTTGTGAGCGGATCACACTTGGCGCTCAGGCTGCCGTCTGTCGACTTGCACTCGACGCCCCGCATCTGGATTCCCTGGCCGCAGGAAACCGAGCACTGTGGGTTAGGAGAGAGCGGGGGAATATCCGTGAGCATTATAAATTATTTCAATACGCTCTGCCGTCATAAAAAGGGATTTGTTTGCAAAAAGGATGAGCCGCAACATGACAAAGTACGCTGCTTCTTCAAGTGATGCGGCTAAAACACAAAAAGGCAAGCCCAACTGAGACTCTCGAGCCCCCATCGCATACAACCCCGTTCAACCCCTTCGCTGAGCCACATGCCACTCGCGCTCTCCCGCGTACAAATGCAAATTCTCATATTGTTTGCGTTTTGTCGTGCCACGAGGCGTATGTGTAACGTCGCAGCTCCAACTCCATTGTTTATTGGTTTAAATCCCACTGCATCCCCATCTCCTTCCCCGCATTTGATGGCGCTTAATTTTTGTGGCACACATATTTTATTAATGGACATAAACGTTAACGTGTTTTTTAATAGGCTCGCTTGGCTCTCGCTTTTTCCCCATTTCCCGTTTCATCTCATAAGCATTATGAGAATTCATTTAAAACGTGGATGGACCTGCTGAAAGGTCCTGCGGTTGCGTTCTCACACAAAAGAGTTTGCAAACAAAAACAGCTCTGCTAGGGGAAAACGGCAAGGAGGTTTAATTATATTTGTGAAGTTCATTAAGTTGTTAATAGGCTGACGTTAAGTAGTTTCCACTCATTTTTTCGCTTTCGAAAAAGTTAAAACTGAAAAGGCCTCAGAGGTACTTTTTAATTATGTTTTGCGAATTCCATTAGCCCTGCAGTGCAAGACAGTCAATTGGCTAACAAAAGTTACAGAGCATAATTCTATGGCAATGCAGGACTCTCGCTGAAGGAAGACAATCAATACACTAACAAAGTGTCCTTAGGGCGTAAGGCTAAGGATATCAAGAGCTGGTTGACGAATAAATAATAGTCAGAATTTCTGTTACCAGATCTAATTAAATCTGTCCCCTTCATCCTCCAACTTATTTTAATAAAGTCTATGGCTATGGCTCATCTCCAACCTAGGATTCCACACATTCCTCTCCAACTTCACCCCCAATCTAAACCCTCCAAAAATACCTTCTAAGCCGCCCCAAAACGTTAAGTAACACCCAGACGAAAAAACTTAAGACAATTCAATTAAGCAACACGTAAACTTGACACCCCGGGCGGGCGTCCTAAGTCCCCGCACATACACGAACCGAACCGAGGGTTGGGGCAACATTAATAAAGTTGCAGTTTAAATGAACAGCAACCAGAGTGGAAATTCAGTGTGAGTTGGGCACTTCAATCGGGAGGGGAACTGCTCCTAGGTGGTGCGGGAACTGGTGACCAGACAAACTTAAGCAGCCACGCCGTCGACACCGCCACCAAGTTGATTAAGTTGTATGTCTAGGGCTATTGCCATAAGAAAGGGGGGTGTCTCAGTCCTACTCCAAGTCTCAGTCTCAGTCGAAGTCGCAGTCTAGCGGCTAGCAGCTTATTACGAGCCACCAAGCAAAGTAACTTCAAATGCGGAAAAAACCAACAAGGAAGGAAATAAACTACCTCTATTCGAATTATTAATGCTCTAACAAATTGTCAATAAACCAAATAACTGTTAAGGAGAAAGACATCGTTACTTTTCAGTTCATTTGTAATTTCATTGCTAAGCTTGCATTCTGAGCTAAGGTTGTAACTTAGTTCTTTGGACTACTAAAAGCAATGAAATATGCCATATAACTACAGACTACAGGCGTAGGCATTTCCACGGTTTTTATACCGCCATTCAGACTTCCAGTCAGAGTCCTGAAACCGAACTGAACAAAAGGCTTTTTGTAGGGGATATGCCCCTGACCAACTGGGGGCAGACAAACAGCAGCTAGCGGCAACCCAGACATTTAGCTAAGTATACACAAAGGGCCCAGACACAGTCTCGTCAACAAGCAAGGTACAACGTGCAACGTGCACCTCGCAACGTCTGCGTCTGGGTATCCACTTCTTTCAGGTTGCAGCACAGAGAGTGCACGTTTATTACACGACTTGCTGGAAAGTGGGCTGAGGTGCTAAAGTACTTACACCGGTCCAGTCCTCCACCTCCCAATGCGGACACTCCTCGATAATGCAGGTCTCCTGGGTAGGCGGCTTGGGTGTGCGGCACATGATATCGGCAACCTGTTGGAGAGGGAGGAGGAGGTGTGAGAAAACATGGCAATAATGTGTTGAGCTCCTCCCTATTTCCGTATGCAAAATTAGTGGCGCTTTAGGGGGGCGGCACCGGAGGTTCTTTTCGGCCAGCACTACCATTATCCTCCCAGCCACTTCGCCATAACACTCACCCTCGTCTTGATGGCGTTTGACTCCTCTGCACAGACTACCATCCGCTCACGGTAGCCGTGGCCACAGAGCCGGCTGCAGGTGCTCCAGTCGTCGGTTATCCAGCTGAGAATGTACAGAGGTTGAATGCAAGTGGTCAGTGGGCGTTCTCCGGGAATTAGCAGAACAGAAAATAAATGAATAGTTGCCAAAAGCAATGAGCGGTTTGGGCGAAAACAAAAAAGCAATTTCACACGCTCTGCCCTGAAATATGTTCGACCTAAAGTGCATGCGGTTGGGTGTGAAAAAGGGAGACGACCCAGGGCAAGGGCAGGACTACAAAGGAATGCTACTGTTATTGGCTGTAAAATAGTTCAGCGGTGGTAAATCGCTGGCATCACTCGAGAAGATGCATGTTGCAGCTTGAAGGGCGAGTAAACTGCAACGCAGAAAATTAATCGCGCGGAATTTAAGGCAGCACTAAATGCATTTTCTTCCATCCTTAAATATCGGTGAAAAACTAAAACAAAAGACTTTAAAAGTTAATACCTGAAGTTGGCTTTGCAGATTAATTTTTGTGAAAGCATTTCGTTGAAATCCCGACCAGGCGAAACCAATAAATAATCCTTAGCTGACCATCTTTGACCCCGCGAACTCCCTCCGTTGGCACAACAATTCATCATCGAAATGCTGTAGCCTCTATTGTCTACCTTGGCCTATCTCCCTTGGTTTAGTTGGAGTCCCTGGGGGGAGGTACAATCCCTCAGACAGACAAAATCAAAAACATAATTGATGTCTACGCCTGAAGGAGAAGTCGCAAAGCTGCGAACGGCGATAAACATAAAGACGGACAACGAGAACAGAATCCTCCACAGCAAACGGAGATTAGGATTCGACGAAGGAGAGCCTGGCATGGAGACAATCGCCAAATTGGCGTAAACTTTTGGCTCACTTCGGTTCCGGTTCGCTCTGGTTTTTGGTTTTCGGTTGTGGTTTTGGTTTGGGCTTGCAAAATGTCACCGAACGATAAATAAGAGTGAGGGTGCCAGCTCCGAAAAAGGACGAAGGCCGCAGGAGGAAGGACGAGACAGGCAGCATGCCCCAGCCGTGCTCGACTCCTTGGCGATAATAGTGTGCCTGGGATGGCAATCAAAACGTGCGCACGATAACCGACGCCATTTAAATTGATAGCTGGCCAGGTGGGGCACGGCATCCGAGTTTCCACTGAGAGAAAGTTTTAGGTGCCGTTCTAAGGGAAACTTAACTTAAAAAAAGGAAAACCAATAATCTTGCCGGCATTACAGGTTTGATTAAGTTGAACACATTTCCTCGTCTTAATTATTCCTATTATTGTTTGAACTATTTCTATTAACCCATATCACACCAATGTTTTTCCCAGTTTAGTGCGGTTGCTGAGGGGCCATGGGGATGTGACGTTTGGTGGGGCAGGGCGGTGGACTGGCCTGCGGGTAACTTAGGCAACTGAGGGGGCTCCGCAGATACGAGTACTTACCGCGGCGGACAGCTGTGTGTATTACATTGCTCCACCGACGCCTCCGGGCGATTAGTAAGGCTGCAGAGCGTATCATCGACATCGGCGTTGGTTAGGCGATTCCTGCATATTGGACGGGACATTTTGTAACCTGAGGCGGAGAAACGAGAGTCCAGAGAGAGAAGAGCAATGTTAGTAGACACCTTGGGAATCGCATTCGACTGCCAGACGACAGCTAAATTGTCGTCCTTTTGTTTTTCCTTAATTTTTGACCTTTTTCTGCACTTTAAAATCAATAAAAGTCAGGAGCTCGTAAAATGGTGCGGTGGAAGGGGGATGGCAAGGACACTGCCTCTGCAACTTTAATGTCACTTAAGGTACTTGAGACAGTCGCAGCACGACGACCAAGCAGTGTCCTGCTTAACCCATTGTTTCCTAAGGTCTAAGTGAAAGTGTCAATAAGAAAGTTCAAAATGGAAAAGTAGAAAGTGTTGGGTAATATCCTCCATAAGCATTGTTTAAACATGTTCCTAATAGTTATAGGAAAATAATATTAATAGGTCATTAAAATCAAAGGATAGCTGTCGATTTATTTAGGAAAACCATTTGGTAAACTAAGGCCTGGCTCATGAGCTGCAGAAAATCCCAGAAGAAAGGGGAAAATCAATTTGTCAGATGTAATGGGTTAAGTGTCAACTGCTAGCTGGGGAACATCTTGGGCATCAGACCAAGTCGAAGGGACTTAAAGGAAAGAACCCAAAAGCGCAACCGGAAATTGGCAGATGGCAAAATGCAGCCAGCAAAGGATGAGGACCCAAGTGGGTGGAGCTGATAGGGAGGGGAAGGGCAGGAAAGGAGTGGCGCAATGCATAACGTCATAACGATCTGTCAGTTTGAAAAATCGTTGCAAGCTTCTAACCCTCGGATGCGCTCTGGTGTCCTTGCCTCCGATTTCGGGATAAATACTCCCTCGGTGAGCAGCTGTGACGCTGATTTTGCAGCTATTGAATTTCGCTTATAAGCTCCATTGCCGAGTGTGTGGGTGAGTGCCATGGCAATGTCATCGCCATCTCATCCTTGCTCCTTCTTATCTCCCGCTGACTGCGTATTCATGACACAATTGGCTTAAGGCAATTGGTAATATCCTCTCATAGCATTTACGTCAATTGTCGTGGCCCAAAGAAAAGTCATCTCCAGCGTCAGACTGCATTGTGGTGGGTGGGCCGGAGGAATTGGGGCATTACCCAACGGATTTTAAGGGCTCAAAGTTTACAGCAGGCAGTGGCTAGAGCTCCAAGGAACGCCGAATCCCTGTCAGTTTTCATCATCCATTCTTATTCCTGACTTCAGCCGAGCTTGTACTCTTTATTGATAAATTATTAAGAGCCGGAATTGTTAATGGGACAGGCCAGCGGGGGATTTATTTACTTTCTACGTATATTCGTGACCCACTTTATAGTTGTATCTTTTATACTCCTTGCCTAAACCAATCATCGAAATGCAATAGTAATGTCTAGAGAATTAAGGGAAAATAAATTTGAATTTGTTTACCTAAGAAGAAAGAACGCTTTTCTTTGCTATCTCAGGCATAACTATCTGAATGCAACCTCTTTCATGTCATCAATAACGTAGTTTAAACACCATCTCCAATGACTACTGCTTCCTTATATATTACACATTCTAGCCTTCAGAAAACCTCTCCATCCGAGTATGCTGGGGACCATTTGTCAATACCAATAGAAATGGATATAAAACAACAAACAAAATAAGGATTAAGTGTTTCCGATTCCGAACAAGCTCGATAAGACAGCTGGTAGAGTGCAGTTGGAAGAGCAGTCGAAAAAACTGAGAGGGCAAGTAAGTGCAGCAGACAGTTGGAACTCCTGTCACGTACTCGAGAACTGCAGTTGTCCAACTGCGAAACTGGCCAACCGAATATGTATAATTGAGCATAATTGATTTCGTGAAATGTGTGCAATTATATGCCCCAAGAGGGGCACTGGGTGGTGGTCATGAGTAAAAGCATTTCGGTGTCCCCTGCAAAAAACCCCACTGCTAAATCGGTTTGGCAGAGCCGACCCTCACAGGTGACCATCAATTTGGGGGTGGACCAGTCGCTGGGAAGTGCCCCAAAGAGACCCTGGGCTGGGCACTGCAGTGCACTTGACATTTAACTGACATCTAAAAACTAAGCACAGACAGACACATTGAAATGTAATTACAGCCGGGTCAGACCAGCATTGAGTAGGTCATTGGGGTTAGGCGACCGCCCTAAGCGATACTGCAATTAAAACCGGAGGAGGAAGCTAGAAATTGATTTTGCGATTTGTCGCTGGATAATTCCTGAGTAAACGTCTGGTCAGAAGGTCCTCCAGCCACTACGGCTGGAGTCGACTGGCACTCGGCCAAAGTAAGGGACAAGTTATCTCTGACAGGCTAATGGACGGGAAAAAAGCCGAACCAAATAAAGTTTAAAAATTTATGGGACTCTTGAACGCAAGCTCAATAAAAGCATTCCGAACTAGTTTGCCTAGGTTTGAGACTGATTCATGTCTAAAATTTGCTTTTTATGATAATAATAATATTCCTCTGTTAAGGGAAATATATTTTATGGGTAAGCAAATGCAAAAATAAGTCGGAAAAGGGTAAGCAAGAAACTTTAACCATATTCGCATCTTAAATTCCCACTAATTACTCCCCGGGAACAACAAAGCATCAATATAAAATATTAATTACAGTTCCTGCCAGCTCCTGTTGAAATGATTCCTCAGCTCCTTTGCGTAAGTTCACTTAAAAACGAACCACCTTCACCTGATGAACTTCCCGAGCAAGTTTTAGGGTGAGAACACCCTCAGCCATTAGTTTTTATGGGTGCATATGCTCTTCAACGCCGAGCTTTATAACCTTATGCCTCATCATGCTGCACCCCAAGACCAAACTTTTGGCTGAGCCCCGAAGAGGTAACGTGGCAGTCCAATTTATGACCTGAGCGCAACATGAAACTTAACCTTAGCCTGACTTCAAGCTAATCGACAAACTTTAGTTTCAAATATATTATGCCCCCGGACTATTAATCATATACAGGTAGCAACAAAGGTGTACGAAAGGAAAACACAGTTTTCAGCAACCACTTTCCTTGGGGATGGGGGATTGAGGATTGGGCATCTGGTAGCTGCTGCCACTCGATTACCATGCAAACATTCAATCGAAACAAATTCCAATTCAATGAAAATAAATGAGCACGACAAATAGCTGACTCCTCCACGCTCACACATGCGAATTTTGTCGGAAAAATATATTCGACTGTAGTTTCGGGGGAGGGGAAATGAGCAGGAGGGATTACAAACGGCAGCCAAACACGCCACGAGCTCCTCGGGCCTCCAATTCCAATGTTCTTGACATATTCCACTTGTTTATTTACCCTAAGGATAGCGAAGACAGGCGCTCATCGGTTAGAACAGAGTGGCTACACTGAGAAAATGGGGTCTTCTTGTTGCCTAAATAGTTTCTAATAGCTTCTTGGTCTTACTTAACCTTCCATAGGTCTTCCCTTAGCTATATACTAGATAATACTCTAAAGTGTCCATGAGCTCCTTTCGAATATATTTCTTTCAGTGCAGGAGGTGGCAGGTATCAAAAGGGATGAACTTACCACTGCCGCAGGTGGCAGAGCACTGCGACATCGGTGCCATCTCCCAGTAATAGAGCGGTTGGGAGCACGAGTTGCCATCGCCGCCGCACACTCCGCATCCGTCGATTTTCTTTGTGGAGCCGATTTTCAGATCGCAGCCAACGCGCTAGAAAGAGATGACAAACCGCTGGCGTTAGAATGCGATAGACATAGTAAAAGACCAAAAGCAAATAAAAATGGCTGCGTAAATAAAGTGTAAATCAACTGTTAGCGGTATCAATACCGTAACACACAAACACAATGTCAATCGTAAATAAAATATGGAAATCAAAGAGAAAGGATCCGTTACATAAGCTTAGGCAGAGACTTGATGGGAGTACCAAAAGTGGGTCACCGCGTGCCTTGGCACATATATCTCGTATGTTTTTGTTTGTGATTGATTTTCCACTAGAGTTCATGGCCATTCGCGGTATAAATCCCATTTGTAGTTTGGGAAACAAACGCCAGATAGCTTGATATGCGATGGTTGGTTAAAAAATGTGCATTCAGTCGGGTGTATCTGTTCTTGGACAAGGTTATTTCATGGCAAAAGTTGAAGTGAAATCCTTACATAATTTTTTCTATTACGTAGATCAGCTAAGTTGCCATCGAAATTGAAAGTCTATCCTTAACATAAACAGAGGGAACCAACTCAGGATATGTGCCGTCACAATTTGGATCTGCGATGTTTTACTCTTTTCGGGCAGCTTCCTGTTTGTCGGCTGACTTGTGTGTGTAAGCCGCAAGACAAACAAGCAAAGTTGAGGCCCGCGGCTCGCATAACAAACCGCCAAGCTGGCAGAGAGCCTTTTGATTTATTTATAGCAGATATATACATAATGTCTATATACAAACATATACGAATCCACATTGAGAATGCCTCCGGCGGCCGCTGCTCCGCATCTTCTGCTTGGCGACAAATAAAACACAGCGTAAACCGCATGACATATTGGCGTTTATTACAACAAATTGGGGTGACGATTTGGCGGCATTACAGAGCAGCAAGGAACTAGGCAAAACTCGGATAAGATGCCGAGCTCCCTCACCAGAGCACACACGTCTTTGGCTACGTATATACCAAGTCGCTGGAACTGAAACTGAACCGAAACTCAAACAGTCGACTCGACGAGAAAACCCCTAGGCTGGGCCCAAGTTTGTCGGCGCTGCTACGTCTGTCGCCAACTTCGTTCGACATTATTGTAGTTGTAATCCTGCCAAGCCGAGTCTGACATAGCTGGCACTCCATGGTGCCGAGGGGTGCCCCGACACCTTCTCGAGGGCTTGCGCCTGAATGCGCCTAAACGAATTCAGAGGTCCTACTTCTGCTCACATGAATTCCAATTATTTAAATAATTTATGTTGAAACCCATTAATACAAACCATCAATTATATTTTACATACAAAAAATAAAACAATTCAATTATTTAAACAATTTGAAAATTTAATTTCTGGGAGCCAAAGGCTATTGATTTTATGGTTTACTAAAATAATTTAGGTTGCAAAAAATGTATTTGTAGATAGGAGTGTAGTTACATATATCTTATTTAAACAGACTTAAGTAAAGTTAATAAGAAAATTCAAGTTTTTAATCGCGAAATTCAATCTTTGTGGGGCCCCTCGGCACCCATGTCAACATATCGTAGCATACTTTGCAGCGCATTTCGCGCGGAACTTCCTGCCGTGAGCCAGGGAGGAGTTCTTGCAACTCGACTCGGCGTTGCCCTGGGGCACGCTTTATTGGCATTTCAATAGTTGACTTTTGATGGCAGCAGCAGGGCAACTGAGACACCTGCATGCCCCGCCCGCCCCTATTCAGCCACCCACTTTATGATTTATTTATGCGCCCGAGCATAATGATACAAAGGCGCTTGTGTTATGCAATCTACATACATATACATATGCTTAACGGTCTCCCGACGGGCTGCCGAGCGTAAGTAGCTTTTTCTTTTGCCCCTTCGGGTTTTTGGCAGTGCCCAAGTCTACATTCACGGCCCCCTCCCCACCAACAAAATTGTGGACGTAATTTATCATCTTTCCCCACTCCGATGGGAGCAGTTGGAGTGGAAGGGAAGGCTCGAACAGGAAGGAAGTATAGGAAGGAAACTTCCACCCACCCCACAGCTGCTATCCCCAAGCTTGCCTAAATAGGACTCACCTGACATTTTCCTTGGATGCACATATCCAGGCTGCCGGAACGACAGCGGGTTCCATCTTGGACCCTCGCCGACAGTTGCACAATGACGCTCTGCTCGTCGTAGTGCTCCGCCTCCTCGGCATTCCCGCCCCCCGCCTCGCGGGAAATGTCTTCGACGAGATGCGCCGGATGTCCCCTGTGAATGGATAATATTTTTTGAGAAACTGTTACTCATGAATTTAACGGAAAAGGCGATTGCTGCGGCACCTGCTTTAACAATTGTCGACAATCAAGAATATTAAGATTAATACTATTATTAAATAAAGTTCATAAAATGTCTTAATGAGATTGAACGGACTATTCCTGATAGCAATAAGCGAGCAATGTAACGAAAAGGCTAGCTATTAAAGATCTAGCATTCTGAATAATCCCCTCAATCTTTCAAATTAAGAAGTTTTATTCCTCCCACATTCCCCTGCGAATGACTCCAGCAAGCAACTCCCCTTCCGGCATTAGCAACTAAATTGCAGAAACTTAAAGCTTAGCAAATGATTTATTTCGCCCGCATATGTATGCGAAAAAACAAGGCAAGTTTGAGAAAAAAGTCCGAGCGGATTAACCGCAGAAGCTGGAAACCGCAGAGTCGTAACCCAAACACGGCTGCCACTAATTTTAACCGCAAAAAGGGGAAAAATGGCAGGGAAAAAATGGCAAAGGAACAAACAGCTTTTTTATTGTCACAGAACCAGGAACCGGAACGGGAATCAGCACCAGCCAAACCACAGGACTTAAATGGGAGCCACTTCAAGCAACACCGCACGGCTGGCCGAGCGCAGGCCATGATGAATAATGAGCGCACATCCGACTGGACCAGCTGCACCATAGTCCGATTAGGTGTAACCATGATTTCACTATGCAACAAGCAACACTTGCAGAAATATTCTCTGACTTACGGTCATTTAAATTAATTCGGAACTACAGAGATTAAACATGATCGCTCCTAGTTCTTAGTATATGAACAGTAAGAAGTTTAAGAAACAAAATTTGAAACTTTTGAAGAATTAAGTGCTTTGTATTCCCAAAGGATTTCAACATTTTAACCCAGTTGAAGTTTCTTTCAGTGTCACCCCCAGCCCAACAGTCACACTTACCGGCATGTGAGCGCACAGGGCTCGACGTAATCGTAGTGCGGTGTCCACTTGTACAGGGTGCCGTCGTAGGGGACATCGTTGTAGGCGGCACATTGGCTGGAGCGGAAGTCCTGCTGCTCCGGACACGGCTGCATGTTGCAGATGCGATATCGGGCGCTCTCGCCACGGCAACTGCCCGGGTTTCCGCACCTACGCATCTGTTGCATGATGCCTCCATCGCAGGTGCGCGAGCAGGTCGACCAGTCCGACCAGGCCGACCACTGGCCGGTTCCACTGCCTCCTCCTCCTCCGCCTCCCGAAGTCTGACCTTTCGCTCTCTTCTGTTGCTGCAAATTGGCAGTTGCATTTGTGGGCTTATTGTTCCGTGCTGTGCCGAATGCAAAGCCCAGGCTACTTACTTCCAGTTCATTTTCTAAATCGGATGCTGTGTTCCATGTGTCGTCGAATGCTTGACTCGCATTTAGCTTCTTCGCCCAGGCAGCCCTTATATCCAATAGGCACAAAGTGGTCTGAAAGCAGGTGAGGTAACAGGAGATTAGTTAAAGCTGTTCTGATGAAGCTGGTTGGGGCTAGCATGTGCATTTTGATTAATATCGATTCAATCAATACGCTTAAAAGAATCTTCAAGAAAGCAAAAACATCAATGTTAAATGCCTGAAACCACAAATTAATTTCCCACTCAATAGCTCCTTCATCAGAGCCACTTACAAAACTATCAAGTTCGTGGCATAGTGCCTGCCTTGGGCCCAATAACGCGATGCAAAGTATGTCACATATTTGACATTTGGGGTTCAAGCCCCAGAGCAAGCTCCCACATTGATATAAATTGTTTTCACTCGCACGCGCCGTTCCCGTTAGTCACGTTAACAATTTGCATTTCGGCTTCCTGCCTTTGGTTTTCCTGTTTTTCATATCGAAGGCCCATTAACCCTGAGACACGCATCACGTCTATATACGTACATACGTAGAAAGGACAGGAGTTGAAAGCAATCTCGACACTACACTGAGAGAGAACTTTGTTGGTATAAGGATTGCCATTAAAGGTCTATATAAATCTGCAATAGGCCTGATGAAACTGTAAGATCTCAAGCATGAATAGTTTTTCCAGTGTGCTGGAGCGAAGGTGTTCATTCCACACGTTGTCTGCTCCTGATGTTGCCACAGCTTTATGGCGTGTCGCGATATGTCCACGTGCTTCAATTTACCGAAAACTACTCACATAGTAAGAGCAACTACACGCAATCACGGCCTGAACTGCTGAACTGCTGCGACTTAACAAGGTTGTAAGAGTTTATCACAGGAAGCGGGCTCTTAAAACTGCTGAGTACTTCACAAAATGAACTTGGTGCTGATTTCATGTTTTTTACTGATTCGGGTTACTTTTAAGCTAAATAAATTAATTACATTTAAGCCATCAATTAAAGCCTTGTTATACCGATACAATCCGTGTGTTTTTTAAGCTGCTCAACTATTTTGTAGATACACCAAATATATTTCTTATTCATTGTTTATTATATATTATATATCTTACATTATTCTATGGCAACAGAAAGTTGAAATTCGGAAAAGCCCCTATCAGCCGATCTGACACTGTTATCTCTTAAAGAACTCCCACTATTTATACGCACATTGAAACCAACTTTAGAGTCCCCAAGGCAAGCAAGAATATTTAGTAAGCCAAAGCTATTATCGGTGCTCACTTAATCGCTGCAACATATCTGCCACATCTGCTGCCATCTTGGGGGCAAGACAGAACAAACTGAGAACAACGCGTAAGGCCAACCAACTAGGCGGCTTAACAACTTTCTGTCTAATCCAAGGGGTAAGTTCCTGTGAACTCCCTCTTCTGGCTGGGGCGCAATCTTTGAGGCAAATCAGCGCCAAATGGACCAGAGCCAATGTAAAAGCTAGTCAACAGCCACAAACAAATCCCAGCGAGTGTGTGGCCAGAGGGGGGCGTGAGCTTGTAAACCATCCGGAACGGAAGCTCATACCGTATAGATTGTCTCCTGCATGAAACATGACCTGGCCCAAAGAATCGGCCACCACGCCACACAAGCTGGCTAACTCACACCAGCATTTGATGGCAGTTTGGATAGAATGGAATAAGCAGTAAAGGATATGTAAAGCCAACAAGATGGAATTCCCGATAAAGCAAGTGCAGAGCAATAAAAGTCTGCACAAAGAGCAAAAACCAAGCAAAGCCAACGGAGAACTCTTAACGAAATCGGCGTAAAATCTCATATGTCCATCCATGCGGTTAGGAAAAGCTACTAAATTACTATTTAAGTATCTATTACCACGTTCCAAGTGTTGCCACTGGTCAGACGGGTGGTCTGCGTGTTTCCTTAATGGAAATGTTGAAGCCTGGGCGACCCTTGTGCAAGCACTAGAAAAACAAACAACGAACCCACCGAAGGCTTAGCCCTGGCCTCGTCCACAACGACGACAGGTGTATACCCTACCCCTCCATAGGTCAGGAAACCGGTATTTGTGACTATGCGGTCGGTTTGAGTTGGGAAACATCAGCAAACACCATCGGACTAGGCAAGCACATTTTGCGATTCCGGTAATTATTTATTTATGAGTTGAAACAGTTTCAATAACTCACTTTTGCCATTCTGTCCCACCGTCTTCCACCCTGGCATACGTCAAATGTCGAGTCCTTCGGGCTTGTGGGCTTTCTCATCATCGTGGCAGGAAGTCATTGTAGGTAGTTAGTTAATGCACAGTGGTGCGAAAATGATGAATTTATGGGTCCGCCAGGAACTTGAACTGGTGTGATGCCTGATGGTATTTGTCACATAAATAGGGAATGAGTGCAGGCGGTTGATGTCGATCTTACTGTTTGAGATGTTAAAAATAAAGTTTCTTACCATTAAATCTATTAAGGAACCCCATCAAACTGATTTCAACTTTACAGCTACTAGAACTAGACCATGGAATAGTTAGTAAACTATATATGACTGTGTTGAGATCATCCTTCTTTTATTGCTCCACAGCCCACTGTGCCAGCCAGATGTCAGGCCAAAACAGACAGTCAAGTCTATTTCGAAAGACAGTCGGAGCCACTACAGTACATCAGACAGGCGAAACGCCAGGCAATTTTTGCATAAATTCTGGGGCACGGCTGGTTCGGTCGGGGTTGAACGGGAAGCATCCCTCCAGGATGCTGCTGCTGAATGCCGAAGCGTGAGTGAGTCCAACATACGATTAGACTGTCAAAGATAACGAAGGGGAGCGGAGTCGTGGGCCTTGTTCAGGTAAGCGCTGTTCCGTCAGTTGATTGTATTGTAACTGAGAGAGCTACGGATGGAGTGCCAGTATGTGTGTGTGTACCTTCAGCTGGATAATGTGTCTGAAGCGTCACGTCAGTTATTTATTCAAAGCGACAGCGACAGGCGGCGCAAAACGTCAATGAGCTAAAATTTCCGTATGCGAAGGTTGCACAGGTTGCTGCCGCAAAGGAAATGGAGAGTCCAAGGGGCGGGATCGGGGTCGTACGGCTGGTATTATGGCTAGGACGAAGTCAAACCGGTGTCGCTGTAGCCACATCAGCTACAGTTACAGCAGCAACCGAAACGTTGACATGACAAGGAATAGATGGATGGATGGTTGAACTGGGTTCTGGGCTTTTGGGTCTTGGAATTGATGGGATTGCTCCGGTTCGTTTCCGCTCTGTTCTGTTTTCGACTTCGGGGGCCTGTCTAACCTGTCCGATTGTCTAGGCCTGTCTATCCATTTGACTGACATTACTTTGTCATTAATTTTCGAAGGCAACACTTAACGCATATGGAAGCAAAGGTCAAGTGTCGTAGTCCGCATCCCTCCAAAAATAAAACTCCAAACTTACGTAAAAATCCCAATGACGCACTTACGAAAGAGAGGGTGAACCAACTCAGGCATCGCGTCTGCCCGTCTCCGTCTATAATGCCATTTAACGACTGTAAGTGGCCAAGGGCTTAGCCTTTGTTAACTGTTTCCGGCTTTACATGCAGTCTGTCTCGACTCTGGAATCCATATGGCTTCACTTTGACCTCCAACTCTGCACTGGACACTGCAGACGGATTTGCTTAGGTCGACCTGGATTGTGTTGCCACGGAAGGAGACGTGCTGCGAAGTGAGGGTTCCACGTGATGCTGAATATCTCCAATTTGTGGTAGGTTTATCTCGCACTTACAATCTATATGAACATATTTATTCAAGAATAATGTCATTTTAATGACATTTTACTGGAATGCATAGTAAGCTTAGTATTTTGTTACATGAAACGAATATCTTAAAATGCTTTGTACATTCGATAGAACATAAATTTATTGGCAATGAGCTGACCCCTAACCCCTGTCTGGTATCTAGTGTGCATTTCTAAGCTTAGGGATTACGTAAAATTTATCATTGGCAAAAAGTAGATCCATAAAGAAAAGCGTAAACCAAAAACTTTTACTTGATTGCTGCTAAAAACATTTGCGAAGCCCAAATAAAAAGCAGGAATAAAAAGCAAAGTAAATAAATAAAAAAGTGAAACAAAAATATTGATATGTGCCAAAAACTTTGTCAATAAATATCATCGATGGCTTGATGGGTTATAGAAGCCATATAACGCAGAGTGCATGAGGCGTCGCTCTGCAGGATCAACTTTTGTTTTTCTGGGTCCTTTGCATGTCGGAAAGTCATTAACTCAAAAACGGTATCGAAATGAAATTGAAATAAAATGCACGACATGCCGAATGTTAACCCGTCAGAGAGAGTGGTGTGTGGTGGTGCTGGAATGGACCTGGCCACCGGGTTAAAGACAGCCTGCAAAGGCGACGAGTGTTGTCGCCAGATAACCGGCTAGCCAGATAGCCAGATAGCCAGAAACAGAACCAGAGACAGACACAGGATTACATGAGAGTGTTACAAATTTGATGCCTGTTCTACACGTTCAAACAGTGCGATAAAAACAGAGGTCGGGTGGGTGGGAAGTGTGGAAGAGGCAGCAGTACTGAAACGGAATGCCGGAGCAGAGGTTGTTCCTATTCCGGAGTTGGTACGTGATATTTGCACAAAGGGCGGGCATTTCAAGTGGCAAATGGCACGGCCGTCCCTCTTCCCCTCCGTCCTACCAAATATGCAAAGAGGGAGCGAGCAGGCAGAGTGCAACTTCGTGAAATTGAGTTTTCATGTAGACCGTTTCAATTTATTAATTGCTCGTGGAAATGCTAAGAGGGGAAAGTAGTGGAACTGCTGAGCCAACTCAAAATGTTTAGGTTCCATAAGAACATAATCCGGTACAGTTTGAAATTTTAAAACTGAGTTTGATTTATTAAGTAGATTTGTTTATAGTTTATAAAATGTATTACACATTAAACTATTTAGTTACTTTATTAAGGGTAGGTAATCTGTTAAAGAATGCTCACAGATGATGTCGCGGGTCGAAAGCGATATCTATAGTTCAAGTTTAGTATGTTTTATACCACATTTCGGTGTTATGCCTGATGGAGTAATGGGTAGAGCTGTAAGCAATTCTACTTTTTGAGAATCGATTCTTTTCTATTCAAGTCTTAAAAAGATTGATTAAATCGATTTAAAATCGAAAACGAAAAAAAAAATTTTAATGAAAAAGTCACTTTTTGTTAAGGAAAGCATCGATTTTACAGTTGCAAACAAAAGTAAAATTCGTTAAAAAAATTGTTTGAGATCAATGTTTCTGGTTATTTACTCTGCGGTTGGTGACTATGAATCCAGCGCGGACAACAATCTACATTATTTATTTGAAAAACGAACATAGTTATCAATCTCTCTTTTTTTCCTCAGCACCAACACACACTGGAAGTGATTAATATTATATTTGTTAGTTTACTTGAGTTATATTTTTTAAAATCATTTTTTCGCTTACTTAATTTTTTTTTTAGGTGAGAAAATTTGTCGACGAATTGTCCCAAAAAAAAGAATCGATTTTTTGCTCATCCAAAAAGATCGATTAAGTCGACTTAAAAAACGAATTGTTTACAGCTCTAGTAATGGGCACTCTAGAAACTTGTAAAACCGCGATCGTGTCGTTTGACATCGTGTGGTGTGGGAGGTTATACTGCGGTAAGAGGCTTCTGAATTAAGCATGTTGTATATTTAACATTTTATTTCCCCCGCAGAATAAAATATAGTTTACGTAACTCAACAGGGGTGTTGTCAACAGGGTTGTCAATGACGCGTCCGCGTATATTGTAGACAACTTCCACGCCAGGGACGACACATGGGTTAACTACAACACCAACAAACATAAAGGTTTTTATAGAAACAAGATTACAAGTGGTGTGAGCAAAAACATTTCAGCCGAACTAACATTCATACTTAACAATCCTCCAGACCCTTTATCATTCGGATTCCCAAATACCCGTCTGAAAGCCCCCACCACTCAACCACTTACCGATGTCATTAATCATCTCTGCAAATGCTAGAGCTCCAGCTTTGACTCGCCAACTTCTTGAAGTGCTCTTAGAGAACACTCACCGCAAAAACTTGTCAACTACGCCTAGGCCATTAACACGCCCGCACACAACGAGACAAACACGCCAGCAACTCCAGCTACGCCAAAGTCTAACAAACAAATATCGGCCAGGACCGACGGACAGACAAATAGTGGCGAAAAGTAGAGGCTAACGGCACACGCAAAACCCAAAACCTTGGGGCCAAAGTCGAACTGCAAGCGTCGGAGCCATAAGCAGGACATTTCCCAGCAAAAATGAACAGGCAGAATAAAAAGATATGTACTTAAAGACGCCAGAAAATACCATGCAAAATGACAAAAAAAATATTTACTACACGTAACAATAAATCCACTCGAGGAGCAGGCGAACAACAGGCGAAGCTTGCACAAAGGCCCCGAAAGAATGGGCCGGAGAACAGGAGGACGGGGAAATGGGAGCGAGGTTGGCACCCTGCTCCCATTCACAACAAAAAAGCCTTTCACGTCACAAGCCGACGAAGAACCCTTTTCCCTTTGGCCGGGAACTGGAACATTTCATTCAACCTCTTCGACAAATTGATTCAAAGATTAAATCTTGACGGAAACGCAATGAATCGCACAAGGACGAAGGAAAAATCAGAGCAGGGAGCCGAAATCAACTTACACTGCCACTTTACTTTTTTGAGGTGATTAAATTTGCCATAAATTATTATTGGACTTTGGCTCTAAGAGGAGCAGCTGCAGGTGTTTTGGGTCGCAGGCCTGAAACTAATTACCTGACACCAAAGCGGTATCAAAATAATCCAGAACAATGTCCAAAAGAGCTTTCCGTGGCGGGCTTACCGTCTAAAATTGGATGGCTGCCATTTGGAATTTCAATTCCTGGCTGCGGTTCCTTAGTTTTCCTGTTTTCCCCCAATTGTTGTTTTTGCTTTTGTGGCTGGTGTACCATTGATGTTTCACACAAATGTGACGCCAAATGTCCATTGACATCGTTCTCTGGCTGCCCGCCCCCCAGTCAACATTAAAATTAATTACCACAAATGGACAACTCTCATTACTGAAACTTCTTTCTTTCTCCTATTTACTATATAGAGAGTTTTCTGCTAGTACATAAGCTGTATACAATATATAGAAACCATGACTATTGTTATTATGAGGAATGCCAAACGGAG